AGACTACATTTGGCGCGATTCCCAAGATTTGTGGCTTGGCAGAGCGAAATTTCTTGAATCTAAGATATTCAGGTGGAGGGAGGACTGACTACTGAATCTTCGTTTGTCGAATCAACAGCGAACACATGCCTCTAGAATGCTTCAACACTTATTTAAGGAATTCTATAAAATTCCGTTGCCAATAAACAAGGAAAGAACAAAGTACTAAGAAAAACCAAAAATCAAAGTCGTGTGATTACTTCTGTGTGGTTATCAGAAATGAATGTTTGAGATGTCGTCCTTTATATAATATTCACTCACTGTTAGCTTTATTAAATAAACAAACTAACATGGAACCAAAGTTATAAAACTGATTCAACATCTTGAGTTAATAGTTCGATTTAAACAAGTGTTTATGAACCTCAAAATAGTCTAAAATATCTATAAGCCAAGATGAAGATTATCCTTCGAGCCTTTATTCTTTGGAGTAGCCATTTCAAGGATGTTTCAGTGCTTCTCAGACACTGATGAAATTTGCACAGGCCATTATCTGAGCTCATGTGAATCTACCAGTCTTCGTTAATTGCTAAACTGACATTGTTCTTCAAATTAGTTGGCATAAATAATTGCAGGGAAAATAAAACCCTTGTAAATCCAAAAATCAGATGAAAGGCGATTGTGAATGTCCCACAAAATTTGTCCAAAAGAACATCATCTCACAGAACATTTATGTAAAATCATCTTCAGAGGAGAGCAAATATACATTCAATAAGTGACTTTACTGCTCTTGAGAAGACTTCGCCCTGTTAGGTTCACCAAGCCACGGAAACTGCTATTTATTATCAGATGATTTCAATAAATAGTTTTTTAGATTCGGCATCTTCAAGCTACCTAGTGAACAAATATGTGGAGGAATAATACTTTGCCGAATAACATATACAGGCCTTTTTTCCAATGTGGTTAGTACTGACTTCGAAATTAAAGTATCTCATCGTATTTATCTGATGTTAAGTTTAAAAATACTGCTGTAAATCAATAAAAACATTTAAAAAACTCAACTATGAATACATGGAAAGCCCAGTGTTTACAAACCGCTAAAATGGACTAAGCATCAATTCTATTTTATTTATTACCTATCAGCTTATGAAGACGCAAACAAAAGGGATGTTGCTAGAAACACTACAAATACAATTATGATATATATCACTTAGAAGGCTATATTTATTTTCACGTGTATCTATTTTGGCAGATTTACTACTTCTGTAGGCATTTTGAGGTATATATTAATATATAACGCCTTAGTTTAGAGAATCAATACTATTTTATGTAATCAATAAGAACTGTCTAGTAAGAGGCGTGACCAGAGGATGCGTCAAAACAACATTATTTCTTATGTAATTTTAAGATAAGTGGTATGATGTTTCTAGTTAAAAAAAATAAATAACTATACCCTTTATACTGGCCTACGGAAATTGAAACTTGATTATTCTGTCTATACCTAGTAAAACTAATTATGTTCTGTGGATAAAGTATTAACTTTTAGGGGAGATATCTCTTATTCAAATAACTGCATTTCATTTCCATTTCCGTTCAGTCGACGAATCCTGTGTTTTTATTTCATATTTTGAAAACATCAGCTGACTAAATTGAGGGTTTACACTGAAGAAATCAGTAGCTCTAGTTTAATACTCTTTACATCGCTTAAATTACGCAGTCATTTAAGAAAAAAGAATCTGTATAATACAACGTATTACTTAAGGCTGAGTTTCTGTTAGTTTAATGCATTAATTCCTTTGAGTCATTATATACAATAAAAAGGTAAATTAGTTGCTTTTATTGAACGGAATTTGACTGGAGACATTTATAAACTTACTTTCAACTTAGGTACTCTCCGAATAGTCTTTAAAGGTCTCAGCACTCGAAGAACGCGTAGTGATTTTATTGTACTCAAATTTTTACTTGGTAATATAAAAGAAAAAATATAAAAAAGAACACTATTTAATGCAGCTCGCGTAGTTTTTGAAATGAGGTATAGTATTTCATTTAAAAACCTAGAAAAACTAACCTGTAATTACTTCAGTTTTAGTGTGTGTGTGATTAAATGCTTAATTACTTTATGGGCTGAGAAACTTGTGATTTCATTGACTTGAAACATTCATTGGAACAGTCAATTTATAAACTACTCATAGATAGTCCTAGAGTGACAGTCTGATAAATAGGTAGAGATTCGGTGACTGAAGTCACCGTAAAATATGTGGGTAGCTGTAAGACAGAAACCTGAGTTTTCTGTGTTATCAACTCCCGCCATCTATGATAAAACTGTGCAGAAAACAGCCACTTTTTGATTCTTCAGCTGTTTATTTCAGTAGTTATCACGTTATTTTTGAAGTGAATATTATTTGTTGAAGTAGGCCACGAAATTTTAAGTATTTCTACTGAAGTAAATAATTTACCAAGAGTCAGATACCATGAAACATGTTGTTCTATCTTAGATTTGACCAGTGGTACATGTGTGAGTAAATGTAATAAATTAACCTTTGTGGTGATTACAGAAGAAAGGCTGAGAGATTAGGCTTCAGTTTAAATTTTTACGCATTCATCTGTATTTCTATGTTATGTACATTATATTTACTTTAGGATAAATTTCTCTCTTACTTCCGGCATACTTTTAGTTGTCATAGAATTTTGAAGTATAAATGTCATTCCAAACTAGTGATAATAAGTGGAAGTTTACTTGCCTGATTAATGACCAGTTGAGAGAGTAACTCATTTGATTCATGTAGTGAAAATAGTTTCTGTCCATACTTCCAATTTATATGTAGATTCCTATCAAGAATGTACACGTGCCACTTGGTGCCTACTGCCGTGTGAAAACTGTTATCTGGAAATTGTTGGAGTGCATGATTATTCTCGTAGAAATATATGTCATTGTGAAATCTTAGCTAATTAGAAAACTTGTTTACTATACTGTACTTACAGAAAAACACAAATCTTTTTATACTGATAGTCATTTTTCCTCTTAATAAGGGGGAAAGTATAAAATCAGACTAAAATCCATCTTATTGGGATATTTCACATACAGTCTCAATTGGTAGTTTATTGTCACCTCTTAACACTGAAATATTATCTTTTGTCATCCTTTTAAATGAGTTAATGGCGACAGTACATTTATCACAGTTGATTTGACTTTACAGGTTGTTTATGTGTTAGCGTTTACTTAAATTAATTTGTATCAGTATGTTTGGTCGGTAACGAGATATCTTTCCAGTACACTGTAAATTGATAGAAGATAATTAGTAATCTTAGTTAAGAAATCAGCAAACTTTTCTGTCTGTAATTAGATTTCTTTTTCCTCTGTTGCCAATGTCTACCTCTGATATATCAAATTTCAATGATCATATAACTGTTTTAAGCCAACAAAACACCTAAATCAACGGTCATATATTTGATATCTTGAACATAATAGTTTACTGTACTTTTAAGGTCTTTTGAATTTAAACTAAGTTTTCATAACTTCCGCCAACTATTTTTACTTTAGTGAAGGTAGCAAAATATAGTGAACTTGTTTCAGTTTTTCCAGCGAGTACGGAAATATTTTAATTCTATGTTTTCAACAATTTGCTTCGGGACATGAAAGCGCTGAGATGAAACTCAGTTATCACCATGTTTACCTTTTTTAATAATTAGAAATTAAAACAGGTGATTCAGTGAAGAAACTAATTGCAGTGAATTTATTATAAGGCTATACAATCATATGCATGTAATTTTTGGAAGTAGGTATGTAAACTGCAATAAAATATTTATGAGTATAACTAGAGTTTAACAAACGTCAAGCGACAAAATATGTTATGTAATTTGTAAATTAGTGCATGGGATACATAAATCTTGAAAAGGGAAGTAGAATTAATCACCTCGTTACATAATGTTTTGTTTCCCCATTAATCTTAATAATTCTACTTCCCCTTCCATGATATATACGTTCTATGAACTGTTTTATAAATCACATAAAATATTATATATATATATATATATGGTCTTACAGCTTGATATAAGATTCAGTGATAACAGTCCCTTCTCCAAACCGAGAAAAACATTCTTATTCATCCATTTATATTTAATTATATGAGTAAACTGGGATCTTTTTATCTGTATAAGTAGTAATATTTCAGATCCACAGTTTGTATATTAATCTGAGATATACACAGTTCAGGGTGAGACCCCACCATAATTTCCTTTAGAAACCGAAATTATTTAAACCAAAATATGTGAACTGCTTGATACCATAAAGGGTAATCAAGAAAGCTATCATACTTACATGAAAGTACATACTACTGACTGGCTGAGGTGAGTAGTACCGGTTACATCAACCAGTAGTGCTTGCTAACCAGATCGAAGTGGTTGAAACATCGGACATCAGTTTCGTTTGTTCGGAGCCGGGCTCATCAGAGGCATAGTACTTAGTTTAGTGTAATTATGCCGGCTTTATTGATCCCCATTTGTGATATCGAGCAGATCACATATAGGGACCTGAATAATCTCAATTTCCAAAGGGAACTGCAGCAAGATAATCACCTTGAACTGTGTAAATTGTGCAGTAATTTGTGAAATCACCAACTGATTTTCAAATCGCGAATCAAATTTATCATATTACCAGTCTGCCCCAGTAGCTAGCCAGAAATAAAGCGATTTGAACTGATTCGTCTCTCTGAACTGAGACAAAACCGGATGCACTGCTGATGAGCACCCCTTCAGACAAGCGAAACGGGTATCCAATATTTAGACCACCTCGATCTAGCTAGCCAGAACTACTGGTTGGTGTAAGTGGTATACAGTTACTTATGTCAACCAATCAGTGGCATATAAGTAGTAATATGAATTTGGAAAAGCACATCATAAAACGTGTTAAGTTTAAATATTAACTGAATGTGATTAAAAAAGGAGGAGTATAGTAGTGTACTTACCTACTTCCATGCGCTGCCTTCCCCTTCAGTGTATAGGCTCTTCATTGGTGACACGAGTAATTAAGGATTATCATGTATATAAATAAAAAAGAAATTAGTCATAAAGAAAAGAGTTTTGCTGGAATAAAAAGATGGTTGTATAATCTGATATATTATTTTCAAGGCAAAAATTCAAAAGCAGTTACCATTTTAAATTTATATGCAAAAGATCAGAAAATATTAGACAGTTGTTTCATCCAAATTTCAGGTTTTATAACATAAATAATACTTCATTTTTTGTTAGTTTTAGATGAGAAATACTTTCAGTTTTCAGTACTGGTTTTTCTTGGTTAACTTAACCAATAGATGAAATCCTATGGACTTTGAAAATTCTCACTTGTTTTTTCTGTTCAAAAAAACCCACTCTATATGAAATACTTGCAAAGTATAGTGAGGTAAAAGCCTAAAAGTTAAATGAGCATTAACTTGCAGTTTCTAAAAAAATAATGAAAATTTAATCTAGTATTTAAACAACTAGAATACAATGCATTCGCATTAACTATCTGTTAACTTTTTCAAGCAGAAAGAACACCTGAAGCAATTTTAAGTCCACCCAGTTCGTTGTTTTTTCCAATCATTCGATAAATTTTATATTGTAGGAGTTGTAAGTAATTTTTCACTTATTAAGGCCTAATATCTGATTTAGTCAACTGATGTACATAATTATTACTTTACCTAAATTCCTTTTAATGTCCGGTGTATTCGCAAAATTGGCTGAAGGAGTAAACAAATCAGGAACCAGTAGGGAGAAGTTTCATTTTAGTTTGTGACTTTAGAAGTTAAGATCATGTGCCCGACAGATACACAACAAGTTCAAAACGAACGCGTCTCCATTCAACTGTCGACTTCTAATCCATTGACACATGATTTCTGAATTCTGACATTTTACAATGCAACATGAAGATCGCTCGTAGATAAGCAATTGTTTAACCTTATAAGCTGCACTTGAAAAAAAGTTTGCTTTGAAATTTTTACAGAAGTGGTGTCCGTTACTAACTGAGTCTGTCTTGAAGTAATTCAGATTTTCTCAAACTTGTGATCTAAGGATTTTTAAAAATATTAATAGGCTGCTGATATTGAATTGAAGAAGCAAAATATTACTCGAGATTTCCCTTGGGAATGACGTAATTAATCATATCAGTTGTGAACCTCGATATGGAATTATTATGAATCAAAGTAGACACCACTGCATATTGTGAACAATTAAAAGTTTACTGACGTTCAAGAGTGAATTTTGACCAGTTTGGCTGTATGATATGCAAAAGAAATACCATTGGGATTGCAGCTGGTTATTCCTAATTCAACTCAGTTTTATCCCTGCAAATCGTAAAGTGACCATTTCAAGGAAGAAAATTTTCTTTAACGACCAAGTCATCTTCAAAAGTTGTATGATCGTATTTATATTTATCAAAAGCCTATATCAGTCTCTTATTGAGTACTAGGAGAGTGTGACATAACTGATTCAGTTACTCAGAAGTGGTACGTAAAGATAAAAGTTAATTAGGTGGAAGTCAACAACACAATGGAAGTTAGGGTTTGAAATTCGATTAGGTGAAAACTTTTATTAAATGAGAAGCATGGTCGTCGGGTGTCCACTTGGATAAGGTGAGAAAACCCTCAGTAAAATGCACAAAAAGAACATGTAAGAGTGATAATATTGAATTGCTTACTAAAAAGATGACTTTTTCGATAAAGAAAATTTTCTTCCCTAAATTATCTTTTGTTTTCTTCATGACTCAGTGGGTCTTTTGTAAAGTAATTACTTATTTTTTAACATGCATGTAAGCTAACTGAACTCTGATTATCTTAACAATTTATCTGCTCTGTGAGGTGAATATATTTGGATGCACAGCTGACAGAGTAATTCCCAAGTGAGCGGAACAGCTGTTTTGTGTTTAGACAACTCTCATCGGCAAAATCTGCGGGTAACCTCAACTGGCTTCCAACAACCCATATTCCTTCAGCAGATTAATAAACTGAAAAACCAAATGACTATGCTTTAAACTAATGTTGAAAGTGTTTTGAAGCTAACATGTTGAGCAGTATTCACAAAAGATTTGATCAGAATAGGAGCTGGTATATCATTTAAGCTTATGTCTGTACATACAAACGTCATTAAAACAAACAATTGATCACTGACACTAAATTCTGCCTGTTTATAGAGTATACTTTGGATATTCAAAGGTGGATATAGCTTCAAAATCTTTTTGCAAAATATCGCTTGTGGTAAACGAGAAGACTTAATTGCTAATTCTGAAAAGAATATAGGCCTGAAATATATAATTTTATCTTGAATGTAAGTATAAAATGTGAAATAAGCTTCAAAATCTGATAATAATGGTCATTCAGAATATTTGTGTTTACCAAATTTACGAAACAATTCAATAATGAAGCTTTTATTCATAACTGCATTCACTGTACTATTCTTACATCCTAATTATAGATACTTTCATCGGCATTAAATAGACAAGCCGAATCTGAATCGGATTGTTATCAATGAATTATAGTTTTGAACTAAAGTATTATACTTCTGTTTTCATATTTTTCCTAACATTAGAATATGTTCAGACGCTGAAAAGATTACTAATAGAAATAAAAATACAAGAAATATTTAACTTCAAACAAGGTTTTACATTCCGAAGGAAAACTGAATGCTTAGTTTCAAAGACTGATTAAATGTAAAATTTGCTTAACATACCGAAAAAACGATATTAGGGCGCCAATCACTACAGCCGCATCTAGTAAATTCCATGTATCCCGACAATACGAATATGGGTGAAGAAAAACACCAAGATCAATTAGCTGTAAATAAAAGACGAGGAGTTAAAAGCTGAACAGAGGATTTGGTGAATACATCATTCTGTCGTACTACATAATCTTCCAGATTAGCGTTTCATTACAGCTAAGTGTATGGGTGAAACAGTATAACTATTTTTATCTTCTTAATAAAACCAGAGAAACAATGCATGATTGAAGAGGTTCAAAATAATTTAGCAATTTCAAGCAAACAAGAGTGAGATTAACAACTTCCTAGGGGCATAAGAAAAGATAACATCAAATAAAAGTCAGTTGCGTAATCTCTGAAAAACGCAACCATAAAATAATTATATGTATGCGAGATAAATGACAGTGATAAATATAACTGAGAGTAGCCAAAAGTAATTAGTTAACATTCCAACCAATGGTAAAGAGTGTCAGGTTGAGGAAATATATGGTAAAAGGAAATTGTTAAAAGCTACGGAGATTCAAAGAAGTTTTGTCACGTAAACATGAATAAGCATTGAAAAGTTTGATGAAAGTGAAATAATTTCACTTTATTGTCTTAAGTTATTATCAGATGTTCAAAATTTGATGTTTTATTATCAAAAGCAGATAATAAGTTAATATAATCAAGTGGTCTCACAATCGCAATACATACAGACAGAGCACGTTTTGTTCAAAAATATGCCAAAGAAGTGGATATTGACTGAGCAAAGGTTGAGAAGGCGTGGAGTGAAATCTCGAAGCAGGACCTCAAGTGCAACCTGAATGGGAAACGGTTAGTTGGACGTCTGATAGTAACATGGAGGACATCGCTTGTGGACTAGATGAGAGCTTATAGGCAGTCGTGGAGCCAGCCAAAGAGGACTGTGGAGAAGAGGAGGAAATGGAGATGTGCTGTTGAAGCTTTGTGCTCCACTTGGAGCCCAGGAGAATAGTAATAATACACGTAGTGTGCCTAAATGTTTTATCACCGAAAAATTGACTGATAAAAAGTGGTGAGAGATTACGGTTATGTTATTTATCACAGTCAATTAATTGATGGTCATCTACAAACCTATAATACAAAGAGTATTGAATACTGACGAGAACACATCCCTCACATTTGCTAAATGACATCAGATGGCACTGCTATATCGGTTGCCGTTCGATGATCTACTTGTCTACGTAATCCAGATATGCAGAAAGTCACTCATGGTTTCAGTAAGTTAGCTGTAAAAAGCTATGAGCAACACAGATTCTGTAAGAAAACGTTTTGATGACTGTATAAAACTGCGATGCCTAGATACGCAGATTTCTGATTATTCTTAATATTTATACGTGCCACTGGCTAGGCTTTCTCATAGAAGGAAAGCTGACAACAGAAGCAGCAAGAATAACTTGAAGCATTGAAAATAAAGGTAACAAGTGTAGATTCATCTCACAGATGAGTAATAGTAGTTAGAAAAGTAAATCTGTAACATAAACCAATAAAAGATTAGTAAATTACATTGTAAAGCTTAAAATACTCATCAAACTGAATAAAACAATGTCTGTAATTTGTAAATAATTTATAATATATATATATATATATAATGTTGGAAAATTCTTTGTTTACAACAACAGAAAGTCTACAAAAGTTCATTTTGTATTGAATGACTATTACTTTAAAAGGTTTGAAGATATATACTTGACCTGCTTTGTCTATCAGATGTTTAGCACATAAACTATTGACACTGATACGTCCTCTTAATAACCTGCTTCTTCATACATTTTCAGAACTTCTGAATTGGGCTATTTATTTTTGTCATTTGAATCCAAACAAATAATTAAAGTTGAAAAAAAGAAATTCAACTGACTTCTGATGACAGAAACCAACATGGCTACAGTATTTACTTCGGCTAGTGTAATTAAAAATCATCTCATTACAGTCACTGGAATATAGCTCTAAGTTTGAAATTAGGAAGAATGAACACTTTTTTTGGTGACAGGATTTCATCATGAGCTGATATCAATTAAATAACCATTGGAAAACCTGGGAGTACTGGACAGTTGTTTCGCCCTAGTTTGGGACTCTTCACAGTACGCACCCACAGCCAGGGTTCGAACCCAGGACCTTCTGGTTACAAGGCGAGCTCGTAGACCATTGAGCCACTGGGACCCGATCCAATGGCCCATGAATTCTAACTTCTGTCAATTCACGACATAGCGTAACCACTTCGCAAAGTCTTCTTCAATGAGTTACTGACTCACCTTCAACCTGCTCTACCTTACTGGTCACGACTGTCCCTTTGTTGTGTTGTATTTCGTTGTCTTGCATGTATGAACAATTTGTTTGCAGATATTCGTTTTTTATTAGATACTTACTGAGCTTATCTCTTCAGTTATCAACCAAACATTTTACTCCTAATTTTGGGAACAATACCACAACTAATATCTGTTGATAACTAATTGAACTGATGCTACTGATATCTTAAAAAATTGATCACTCTTATTATTCTTCTTTAGTAAAGGGTTTTTAAGATTATTTATTTATAAATAAATACAAGTTTAAAGTTGTCATCTTGTGTTTCTCTCCTGAAGTTGACTTTTTTGTCCGCATTAGTGAAAAGTTTTAAGTTCACCAAGAACATGGTGAAAATCATCTTAAAAGTCGTCTTGTTATTTCAAGATATACAATTTCAGCTTGTGCTGCATATCACATTTTTCATCACTACTCCATCAAATTTCATTGTGGAGAAGAAAGTAGACAGATTTATAGAATGCTACTGGTTAACATGCCTTCAATCAGAAATTATAAGGATTTTAATACAGTGACGACAACTACTTGAGTGGTTTTCATCAATATCGAGGAAGTAACATGACAGAACATAGTAAACTTTTGATGGAAATTTCACTAATAAAAGTTACTGTACCAAAAAAAATTTGGGTTTAGTTTGTGCATAACACTTTCATTTCAACAATTCGACGAAAACGCATTCTAAAAAACCGCCACTTCACTTTGTTAGCCAATGAATTCAATACCCATATTCCAAGAAATAGTGAACTAGTGGATTTTAATATTCCACTCAGTCAGTTTACTGATACAGTCCACTTAAACGTTTTCGGTAGAACACACCATCCTTCTCATTTATATTGTTTTCCAAAGGCATGACACAGTAGACTATATTAGATGGTTGGAGGCAATCAGCAGGAAGCCTTGGACCTAGGTTTTGTGTTGGCTGGCACTCCCAGTCAGCAAGGCGTATCTGCGACTCACGTCCCTTCTGAGATCAGAACCGGCGTCACTTGCTGACGAATGCCAACTAGCACGAATTCTAGATCGAAGGCTTCCTGCCGATATCTACTATCAACTATTCAAAGTGGACCTTGATGGCGAGCCACCTAGAATGGTGGCCATATTGCCAACATGACTGATAGATTTCAGTCTTCACCAAACAAAGGACTAGACACATTACGCTACTTACTAACTAATGTCCAATAAAAAGTACAGTAGACTATCCACTTCTTTGTTATGTGAAAAGTTTTTCATGATTATTTATGTTATCACCAAGAATAAGTTGCGCGTGGTAAAATGCCGAATTCTTCCTTCAAAATACTTTATAATTAAACCAACTACACTAACATTTGAGAAGCCCATTATTTTGTTTGAAGTTGTCTATTTAATCTGACATATATCATATAACAGATGTGTTCTAATCCGGAAATATATCACTAGTCTTAATCCATACTAAATCTGTTCTACGAGTTTTTCACAGTTAAGTTTGTTGATGATTTTAGTAAATTTTATTGTCAAAGACTATTTCCACACTAATGAATACCGAAAATTAGTATTCAGTAGCTGAGATATGTAGGAATATTTAATCACCAGTATAAGAACCTATAATAATTCCAACAATGGTCCCATCACTAATTTCTTCCCTCTCCCCGGCCCCATTTACTTCCAAAAATATCGCTTACACAATAGTACATAACTGAGCATAGATTACTTAAAATCACTCAGAGAAAATAAGGACTAAGCTTTAGATTTTCATACGTTATCTTACTGCATGAAACAATCATATTCAAATGACGCATTAACTAAAATTAACATTACAGTAATTTAGTGACCCAACATTTAATTGTAGACTTTTAAAATAAAAACAACTCACTTTCAACAGCATTTCGATAGCGAATACACAAGTGAAAGCATGATCGAAATATTCGAGTAGACAATTTCTTGTGCTATTTTCGCTAACTGGATCTTCGGCAGCCAATGCAACACTACTAGATACAATTACAATCATAATGAACAGGTCGAAAAAGCGTAGATTGACTACAAAGTGACAGAAGCGTCTAACACTAAATGTTAAAAAAAAACAATGAAGAGTAGAAAAACAAATAGAAATACAAGTTTGAAGCCAAAGAAATTATGACAAAAGTATATATTTTTAATTTCTGCAGATGTAGTGAAATTATTAATTATCAACAGTTGATATTATTCAAATGAAAATTAGCAAGCATTGCTTGCCATCGTAGAACTTCTAAACTTCATACACTGAAAATATCTAAAAAAGGTAGAAAGTGTTCAGGATTTCAGGTAGGCGCATTACATTTTGGGTAATTGAATGCCAGTTTATCATACGGTATCTTGAAGCATAATTATTTGTCCGAACAGAATTCACCTTGCTGCAAAAATACTGAGGAAATTAGGACTACAGTGTGACTTTAGAGCTTGAATAGACGAGTAGTTATTATTTTAAATTGTAACCGTATGTACTACCTTGATATTAAGCACGATACAACAAAAGTCATCTGAAATTGTGGATTTCATTTATTTCATGAATAATCCCCACCTATTATTGAAAAAAACACGTAGTTCAGGGAAGGGGCTTTTTTCAGATAGAGCAACCGGAGCGGACAAAGGGAAGTCATTCAACCACTTCCACGACCATGGTAATAACTTTGCTCAGTTCTGCTAACTTGATTTTTGTTTGTTTGTTTTTCTAGCTCTTTATAACTCTTGTATTTTTATAGAACTCCTGCGAAATTCCATATTCACCTTCGTTTCTTTGTGCATCCTGGTTACAACTCATTCATTAAATTATCCACCTTATTGCGTAACTGGAACACACTTATTCAACTATGATTATGACAACTCTTCGCTTTTATTACCACCCTCTTTCAAGAAAAAAATATGGGATCGTACTACTAAAGAAAATGAATTCGCCGAAAAAGGCTTCTTCGATGAACTACGTGTTTTGTTTTCATTAACTCCATTTAACACATTCAAATTTAGAGGGGAATGGAACTGAGTCAGTATTTCAGAGTATATAACTGAGACGTCCCACACTGAGGTATTTCCAAGTAGATTTTAAACAAATGACAGCCTGTGATTGTAAGATCTTTGTGGTTAAAAAAAGCCATAACTTACGGATTTGTTGAAGAAAATATAAACATTGAACTGTAAGGAAGTATCGGCTTTCCATATGACTGATGTTGTGTTGGTGTTTCTTGATTTGCCTGTGGCTCCTGTTCTCTGCCTAATTCTATGTCCGTCTGAAACTTCTGCATTGTACTATCTGTTAAGAAAAGAACAATACCACAAAATATAATACTTGAAAATTCCAAAGTAAAGACTGCTGTTACCACTTTAAAATAGACCTGGGCTTTTTCATGATTGAAGATACAAACATGTATAAATTTAATTCAAAAATGATTGTTCATGGAAGTGAGTATTATCTTCTTTGGTATTCTTCAGGTAGTCGTAAATGTACTCCAGTAATTAATAATATTCCCAGTGAGAATCAGATGAAACACACACGAAATCAAATGTCAGAGCGTCATCCATTATGATACTGAGCCTTTTAGCATTGCGCATAATTTCATATTTTTCTTCTCACTTTAACATTCTCCATTTCTTTAATATTGCGTTGGTCAGTCTTCCTTTGATATACGGGTTTCCTGAACGGACACCAGCATGATGACACAGCTTTCAGTCTCATAAATCAAAAAAGGACTGTATCATACTAGTACACCTGCACAAATAATGTGTTGTGATGCGTTGGAATGTTAGATAACGATTTGTAGTTTGAAACCATGATTGCTGAGTTTCATCGTCAGTGTGAACACTACTACTCAGATCTAGGTACATCTACCTGACGAAGCATGTAACTGATTCCAGTGTGCTAATCATCATAGAACAATGAAAGCGGGAATCAAAACAGTTTGGTATATTCTTTCCAGGGAGCCCATCGTAGTGCCATCCAGACTGGCTATAAAACATTGAGGAGAAATGATAAGCATAAGAAAGTAACCACTAACGAGGTTTATTTCACATAAATCTACTGCTAGTGTTTGCGTCTGATCAGTAAAATCCATGGTTTATTAGACTGAACTGTACTTTCTGTGTTGGCTATCCTTACAGTATCACTTAGAATACGATCTAGGTAGCATGTATACATATGTATATATGCTATATATATAGTAGCTAGCAAAGGAGTCTAAGATACATGTTTCAGTTTAAGATTCTGCGGCTGAATTTAAACACTCGTTTTGCGTTTCAGGGACTCTTAAAGGATATAATCCATCAGCCACCACTTTAAACCTCATAGAATTTTAACAGGCCATTTGTTTGCTATCTGTTCTAGTAAGCCTGGAGTTTGAACATCATGGAAGCATTTAGAATGTCACTCGAAGTATTTACCACAACTGATCTTTCTGACGTATAGTATGAACTTACAGTTATCACAGAACTTGTTTTCCATTTGAGCTGTTAGAGACTTCCCATATTCTACTACTCCTGAACTGTAATGGAAACAATGTAAAAAAATAATAAGATGGATAGGTAAATAAAGTAACTGTCGGATAAAAATTTCATACAGTAATGTGATTTTCTGAATAGTCTTATTGCCTTATGTCGGCGGAGATCAGAATCTGTGTTTAGTAACGTTGTATGTTCTCTAAACATACTTAGAGCAAATAATTGTAACTTTTTAAGATATGCAGACTTAACTTTACAACTCATCAGTGACGTTTACGACGTAAGCACAGCTTTTTCAGATTGTATTTAATCATCCTACATACAGAATAATGCGCAATAGATTCAAGTCATTTATCTGTACAGTCGGATTTACTTCATATCCATTCATTATCGTCCAGACAGCCAAATCACTACTACGTCTGCTTCGGTACTAGTAGCTATAAATATAAATAAATGCATATATATCATTGGCAGGTATAAGACAGTAAGCAATATTTTTAACCTTCACGGATGAATTTAGCAATGCTGTGTAGCAAGGCTTTCACTTTTACCCAAGTTAAGATTATCAACATAAATATCCGGTATCCATTAAGGGTGAAACCAGTTTCTAAAATCTGATGACTGTTGGTTTAAATGAACTTGAGATTTATGTTGATGATACTGTTTTACATGACTGTGAACTTTTTCACAAGCAAGTTTTCAAACTCACAATATTCCTCTTATCCAGTAATTGAAATATGGATAAATATGAGGGTATTAGCAGTAGTTTGTTTATGCAATTCCTAACTAAATTCATTTATCATTTCATAATGGTATTTTTCATTCTTTTACCATAAGTTTCACAAGGGGTTGTCATATTTTAATTTATTGGTCTTATCGGCTAGTGCAGTTATAATGACTACATATTTTTCCGTTGCTTCAGATACTACTGTAAAAAGCGGTAAAGTGAACTTGTAACATGCATTAATGGTTATTATGCATTACACTATACAAACATTACGGTGAACAAAGCAATTAAATAACTTTGACTAAACTAAAATATGTTGTTATCGTTATTAGTGTTTGAAAAAATGTTTTAGCAATGGAGACATCCTAAAACAGATACATATATATGTACTGAGATAAAAACTATATTAGTCTGTGTTAAAACAGTGAGGCTTTTCATCTCTATAGATTTCAAATAATACTGACTGTCTCATTATTAAAGTATTTATTTGCCAGAGTTCGTAGAGTGCATAGTTTCAAACACAGATTTTCACGCATAAAAAAGTGTGTTGTCTGCTGATTGTGAAAGCTTAGGATAACTTCAAGTCTTTATCGTTCGCTTAAGACAAGAACAATTATTATATTATTGACTAATCACTAGAAAATAAACAATGTAATTTCAACTAATCTTTGTGACAAACAAGTCGTAATACTAACCGTCTTGTAGGTTTTGACCAATCTTGAGTAAATGGGGAATAATAACAAATGTTTTACATCCCAATTTCATTTATGTAAACTGATATTTTACCATTGTTAATTAATTATTTAACATCGTAATAAAGGTTTAACGTCATGGAAGATGACGTATTCATTTTGTTGCTTTCACTAAATTCCTGTTTTGTTTTACAGGAATAACTACATTCATGAGGATCAAAACTATTCCAAAAGACAAATTCTCAGAGTGAAAGTTTAGACCAGCAACCTCGCGATGATTTACTCGGGGAAAAAGCCTTCATTACGCCCAATGATTTTAAATGAAAATAAAATACAGCAGGTTGAAGATGAGGCAGTAACTCATCGAAGAAGACATTGCAAAATGGTCACGCTATGTCGTGAATTGGAAGAAGTTAGAATTCAAGGACCACTGGATCGGGTCACAGTGGCTTAATGGTCTACGAGCTCGCCTTGTAACCAGAAGGTCCTGGGTTCGAACCCTGGCTGTGGGTGCGTACTGTGAAGAGTCCCAAACTAGGACGAAACAGTTGTCCAGTACTCCCAGGTTTCTCAGTGGTTCTCTAACTGATGTCAGCTCATGATGAAATCCTCCATGCAATCAAACAAAATCCCTACCAAACCAATACTTGAAAATAAAATAACTGAGGTTCAAACGATAGCCTTGATTACAAACTTCCAATTAGTAGCTCAGCAGTCTTTTTTATGCAGCTCAGGTACTCCCTTTAGCTTCAGCTTTCGTTATGTGATGTTTTATCGACTTTCTTTAAAAATGTGTATCATTCAATCTTGTATATTTGATAATAAAAGTCACTGATTGACTAGATAAAAACCTGAATTGTTATTCATTAGTGAGTCACTAGCTAATCAAATAAAATTGTTTTTGTCATTTTAATCATGATTGGCGTACTGCTTTTCGGAATATTTTTTTAATCTAAAATGTGTGATGTAATGTTTAATTGCTTTTCCTATCAATCAACTGGTTAATTAATCTAGAGGAGGTTAGCGACTCACTATTTTCTTTCATTAACTTGATCCACTACAATTCTGTGTGATTGATTTGAATCAGTGGTTGAAGTTTCTTTATTCTGTTCTTGCCTTTCGGCTAACTGAAATAAATAATTTGGCAAAATAAAAACAATAACATACTACTCATACTGAAATACAAAAGATATTTTATAGTCAAAGTTTGCTGTTGTGTTAATATCATTTTAAACAGCTTTACTCTGATTGACTGGTGTTCTTCAAGTTGAATGATGTTCAACATTTAAGAAACAATCAGCAACCACAGGGCTGTGGATTGAATGTTTTAGTGAAACAGTGGCGTTTTAAATATATATATATGTTTATGTGGAAATCGTGTTATTGTGACTAAACATTTACTGGATACAGACTGGATAGGTGTTTCATTTGAGTCTGATACTCCTGGGAATGGTGAGCTTATGAATTCTTTTCAACTACAAAATCTTAAGGTTTGATTGAGAGCATGTTAGATCCCTTTACTGCTCCGCTGCCAGGTCTTCTGTACATAAGCGAGTTCACGGTTTACTGAGCCAGTAAACTGCAGATGTCAAACCTTAATGTTGTGAATCAGTCAAATATTTTTCTTTATAAGTAAGATCTGAAATTCTCTGTTTCTAAAGGTACAAAACTTGTATGTCTAGATAAAGAAATTAATGGCATGATCCATTCTGACTTAGAGCTCAAATGTTTGCAGAATATTCGAAACATCTGTAAAGTGTTAATATACTTTAAGTTGGTTATCTGCATAATATGTTTCTTTATTTCATCCTGAATTGATTCTTTCATCCTTATATTAACTAGACAAGGCTTTCAAGTCATATAATAATAAGTTAATATCCTAGAAAATTTGCACCACATGAAAAAAACCAGTACAAACGCACACTTGAAATGAAAAATAATAAGTACATGCAATTTGCAGAAATTAACTACAAAGTAAAGCCCAGAATTTTTGCTGACACACGACGGGCGATGTAGTTTTACTTCACATAAGGAATTTCCACTTCCTCTAAACCATAAAGAGACTAACTGCCTTTATATTAGCCCCAGAGATCTGTAAGGTAATTGCGTTAGCTAATTTGGTCTTTTTCTTCTTTTTCCTAGTAGTCTTTTTGGTATTAACCGGTAGATTAGTTTCACTATTTCAAAATTACCAACTTATACCTTCACTATATACGTCTGAACACTTTGTCTAGGGTATAGTCATATTACGCATCAACCAATCGACATTATTTGTTGGGTTTTAAATCGGTTACTATGTGGTACCTGTTTGTGAATTCATTTCTGTTGCAGGTGGTGAATTTTAACTCCTGATGAATTTCACACAAAAGTGAAACAGTAACTCAGTGGTTTTCTGTGTTGTGACAGAAACCTTTTAGTAATAATATTTAATCTTATACAATAGACTGAAAATGAATACTTATTAATCAGTCTGTCTATCAGTAAGTGTTTACCTGCGACTTTGTACAGGTAATTGACATTAACATAATGAACAAAAAAAGTTAGATAATAAAGCATTTACTAACATCATATAATTCCCAAAAAATTAAGCAACCAGCCCATGGTTATGAAAAATTAATTGTGTTTTAACAGAAAATAATGAGAGCAGAAAAAAGGAATGTTAAGTAAGCTCTAATCAGCCAATTAGAGGTTATACTAGGGGTGGAGATACAGAGGAAGACTTTAGATGTGCTTTGTTTCTTATGCTACCACTTCTCACAAGATATTATTTCTAATTATCTTAATATTTCTTCTAAATCTATCTAGTACGTGTAATGAAGCAAGTATAATGTATTGCACATATACATTTTGAAGTATTGAATGAATTAAAATCAAGATATATTTAGTAGAATATAGTTAAACGAAAACTTTACTAAGGAATTACGGTCATTAAAAAGTTTCCATATTTGTATCTTAAAACAAAGATGAAATGCAAATGTTACTATGCCAATGCAATGAGTTAACATCGTCAATCTAGATTATACCTTTCAATCTTACTGCTTTGATAAACGACGAATGCAAATGTTACATAACAATCTTAACATTAAATAACTACATTTGTCACTAGTGTATGACTATGTTGGTCTGAGTAGCTTAGTAGTAGTGAGATTGAAGAACAGCATAAAAAATAGGTTGAGCAAGGCTTTCTGCCCACCAAATCTTAAAGTTTGATGCAACTGTCTTTCTTGGTTGTTCTCTTCTTTTTCTCGTCTGAAAAAAAGTAGATGTTCACCAGAATCTATTCCTACTGCATTGTTTGGCGCGTACTGCTGAAGAGTCCCAAACTAGGACGAAACAACTGTTCAGTACTTCCAGGTTTTCCAATGATTCTCTAACTGACGTCAGCTCATGATGAAATCCTCCAACCAATCAAACAAAATTCCCTACAAAACCAATACTTAAAATGAAATTATTTATGATAATGAGTTTGGAATATCTAAATAAAATATTCACAAACTCTTCACTATTTAACCTACAAGTGGCATTTCTGCTGAAAAACGTTTAGAAAAATTCTTTTTTTGTGAAGACACCAGAATTGGATAAAATGATTTTGTTACATTAGAAGATAGCTAATTATCAAAATAAGAAATGATGGGCAACTTAACTTATAACTTCTAAATGAATATATTCTTTTCATTGTTTATATTTTCCTATATAACCAGCTGTCAGTAAATCTCTTTATGACCTATCAATATATTTTTCATTCATAAGTGATCATCTTTCTATCCGTCAAATAAACATTTGATTGCTGAATTCGTTTATCCTACTTAATTGGTGTATGCATTTGTATGTGTATAAGTGATGCATGTACACAGAAACATTTAGTCATCAGATCATTTACTTCAATTTACGTCTTAGATATTACTGATAACACTGAATTATCTCATCGTTTAGTAAATAGTCTTTCTAATTTATATTTTTAACTTTTGTATTTATATGTTTATAAGACAGTTCGCAATGGTAATAGTTTAGTTTTTTACATTTGTAATTTGATACTTTTTTGAGTGGGACAAGAAGACCTAGTTTGTCAGGTATTTAGTTTAGTTAGTTTTATTTCTTCACGTTTCCAGTGGGACATAGGGCTTCAAGCTAGAGCTCTGAAGTTTCGGTAGCTGTGGTGTTTATTTTCACGGGATGGAGTTGCTAGCCTCATACCCAACCTTCTCTCTTAACCAGTCTTATTACTGGCTTAGTAAAGCAAAGGAGTGCGTCAGTCAGGGATCGCACCCCGAACCACATGCGTGGTTGGCGAGCATTCTACCACTGTACCACCGACGCACATTCGGCAGGTGTAATGTGAACATTTTAAATGGTACACACCATCTGTTCATACAATAATATTAAGAGACCACTTATGAAAAAATACAGTCTGAGTTACACTTAGAAGTTTGATCTTTTAATCCTATGAGATGAACTATATAACCTTGGTCTAGATCTTGCTCCCATCTACATTCATCATGCAAATATTGTCTTATTCCACCGAACTAATATTAAATAGCAGTTTTTATATCCGTTCAGAGAAAACGCATTTGTGAGAGGACGTAAAAATGCATATAAATACACAAGAATTCTCTTCACTAGATATTATGATAGCGAAAATATGATGAAAACAAAGTCGTTCAAAATAATAATTACCTCGTCAGCTAAACGTTGTTCCTCTTCTTCTGCAGCCGTTAACTCTTGAGCATTAGCTAAATTATCTACTGCAATAGCTAAGAATACATTTAACAGGGTATCTAATTTCACATTGTTAAGGCTTATACACTAATACTTTTGTTAAAAGTAAAGGTTATCACTATTGAAAGATTGTTTATTGAACTGAAAATGAAATATCCTGTCATATATATATATATTACTGGATCGTAGTTTGAATCACAAATGAATATAAGGTAAAAAACTTATTAAAAACTGAACACAAGACGTCTGTTTAATTTTCATGTGAAACTGTAAAAGGGTTGACGTACTATTCATAAAAGATCCGAACCAATGACAGATTTATGGACATGGATTATGAAATATAGTAATTCATTCGGATATACATAGTATACGCTTTTCAATGACTGTCCATGCATATCGGGAATATTAAACGATCTCACTAGAGATTAACCAACTCCACACCCAAGTTCATGTATGTAACCCGTTAAGACTTTTCATGGTAATTCCAGAAAATCACTCCAAGGGCTAGCCAGTAATAGGCGTAAATCCTGTGACACTAATTGATATCACTTGGTTTTTGTCCTAAAATGATATCTGTTATAGATCAGTGCACTATACACCTGTTCTAAATAAATTCTTGATGAAGGCTAGTAATCGGTAGATTCAAACAAATTGACGCGAGGACGGTTTTCAATATCATGAATTTACATTTATTCCAAAAACGCAAACATCAAGATTCATACGCTTCAGTGAATGGTTTCAATAGTTCACTGTCTAGTTAGTGGTGAAAACGGTGGAAAATTGAATGAATCCACCGCATACCCTCTCACTAAATATATGCTAAGATATAAACTTAGTGATTCATAAAATTATGTGCATACGTACGTTTTTAATAGCAACTTTCAAATCTCTGTTTGAATAACAGTTATACGTTTCACATATACCCCTATGATTTTTCTTTCCCTTTATCATCCAACAGTTCCCTAAAAAGGCATCTTAATAATGTTTTATGAATAAATAAAAATAACAGTATATGACATAAAAAATACTGATTTTTCCGTAAGTTAACAATGATAAAAAGTGAACGTGTAATGTAATCCAAATGTAACCGTTTGTGCATTGACCTATGAACCCTATTTACAGTATATTATATCACGCCCGTAAATTTGACTCAAATTGAAGCTGTTTACACACAACCTATCCTTCGATATGGCCAGAGAATGTGAGATTCATTTATTTATTTGGTAAATAAATCGATGGTTCAGTGGTAGGACGCTGTCCAATGACGTTTATAACCTTGATTTGAGTCCCAGTAGACGCACTCCTGAACCTCACTCAGTAGGCTGGAGAAAGGGGGCTATCACCTCGGCCCAGTAAAAACAACACAACCACTACTGAAACGTCAAAGCTTGAGACTGTATGTTCTGTTCGGACAAGAGGGAGAGTGGAAACTTTTATTTGCTTAACTTAATTACAGATGAATCCATTTCGTTTCAGAAACTCCTGGTAAAGCAAATAAAAAAAGGTATTCAGAGCTATTCGAACATGCTTCCAATTATGTAGCAACTTTTCCAATCAAATACCCAAAACATTTTCATGATTCACCGCCCACAACTTTTAAAATAAGCCATTGAAAAGGATACAGTTTCCAAATAGTACTAAAAGGACAAAATAAATGCAGTAGACGAATCCCCCATTGTTAACACCACCTTGAGAACGAATTCCATCATACATAATCATATTCCAATCTTCTCCAGTCAATATCTGATAAAAACAAAACAAATGAAAACAAGATAAGAATGATTTTTGAAAATAAAATTAAAACTCCCTGAATACATCAAATCTGTTATGCCACTAGGGTACGATAGTTTGGATATTTTCCTTGTTATTGTGATTTTTGTGTCGGTTATCACTTTATGAATGATGGCTTGTTGACGTTCTGTCTTGTCAGTGGGATCTAATTAAGAGTGAGCCAACATTATAAGAATATAAGTTTCTGTTGCGGTTATTCAAATTATTCAGCTGGATTAAAGCGCTACATTACTGCTATTTAAAGTGATGTCTTCTGCATGTTTACAGTGCATTTAATAAATTGAAACATTTTCGATAACATTTTTAAAACACGTCCCAGATATTTTTAGTACCTTTTGGTAATTTGTTATCGTGAATAAAATAAACAACTGATACTTTTAGTAACATTTCTTAAAATGGTTTTAGCCTTTTATTGAGGTTGTGACAGAGCTGCAGTCAACTAGTCTTTCTGAGATATTTGTTATTTCGCGAGGAAACCCATCCTGAAATAAATAAAAACCTCTAGACCAAAACCTAAACATTCATCCATTGCTCATTAGTAACTAGCCTCGACATGGGTTTCCGAAGCTCCAGTGAAACATCGTGACGGTAGATGTTCACTAAATATCACGTTCTTGTTGATGAAATCAATTGACTGTTACTCTATGTCACTAATTAACAAAGATTAGAATACAAAAGTAAACAGATTTAAAAGCATTAGTTGAATAATAACCTGCTTTCTTTGTAATCAGACTGTTAGGGATTCGATCATCGGTAGAGTTTTAGTTATACTGAAGAGTACCAAATTAGGACGTTATCGATTACCATCGATCATCATTATTTTTTTAAGTTTGAGATGAAATCTATGTCAAAATACAAATTCATGGCTAGAGATTCTAAAGCCATTTGAAAATAAGGTCAGAGTAATATAAAGGAATTACAATTTAGATGAACACAAACACGTCTTGATTGAAGAGAGAATACTTGTACGGAGGAAATTTAAAATAATAGTTCAATAAAAAAATACCAGTGAATTTATGAACAATTTCCCATAGCGAACTTCATGTGTCATGTCAGACATAAACCCAGCTTAGTTGACATATTTCCTCGGCAGATGTTTTGAGAGTGCAGGGTAAACAAGCCTAACAATTTGGCCTAAATGTCATACTTAGTTTTAATCCTGTTTTTCAAAATATTAAGGAAGACTTGAGTTTTCAACAAGTGAATTTAAATCGACTAATAAATAACTTTTGTTTGTGGAGAAATTCCAACTGCCTTAGTTATTTATAATAGTGGAATGAGAACATAAACTGTAGTCTTTCCTCTTCGTCTGATAAACTATGTTCTATGATTAAATAACCTGATAAACTGAAATTCTCTAAAAGTTAAAAAGTTCAATTCTGTACTGTTATAAATAATAATTAAATAGCGGTTAAATCAGTGCAGAGGCCCTATACGACACTGACATTGTGATCATTTTTGCAGACATGCATAAATCCATGCAGTAAATCATGCTTGACATGAAGCATGCTTAAAATTCAATAAATCATGATTAATTCTTCTGGAAATCACGTTAGCTTTCTATCACTGATAATTTACAAAAACTATTTCCAGGTTCTTAATGTTGCATCTAAGAACAGTACTTGTTGGTTTGACTAGATCACTTAGTCGTAAAAGACCGTCATGCTGTCGAGCGAAATATTTAGTTTAATTTACAGGTGCATACGGGTGGTGATGTAATATGCTGAAGGCTGTTTAAAATAATATCTTGGAGAATGTTGACGCAATCATATGTCATATCTTCGTAAATAGTAGCGTGTTACTTCAGTTCACTAACAATTTTGGGGGAAAGTGCTTTTGAGGATTTATCACACTACAGCTGGTGAGTGCTAACATTCATGAAACCTGCCAAAACGACCTAGTGTATCTAGTGCCGAATCGTGGTGTACAGCAGTATTATATCTGTCAGCATATTACGAGCATTGCAAACCTGATTGTTGGAATTTTATCAGCTTCAAAGTCCTATGAAATACAGAAAATCATTAAATTGGGTATAACGTCATAAGTTTATTTTAAAGTAGTTTTTGGGTGCCTGTACATTGACAATACTTACTAAATCTGACTCTACTAGATAAAAGTGAAAATTCTACTGCATAAAACTTTTTTGTGTTTTAATTTACTTCTACAGACATACTAGCAACTATTCAGGTTAAAAGTATGATGTACTTTGTTAGTATTAATACTACCGAACAAAAGATGCAATCTAACAGATATGAGATAAGTAATTCACTGAGTGTCATTGCTTAGATTTAGGCAATTTTTCTTTAATCATGTTAATAGATATGCCATTTTCATAGAATAATTCTGAAGCTACTAATTAGTATGTCGGCTAAACCTATGTGCACATCAAAAGCTTAACAAGTGTGAGATGAAATGATATCAGACTAGCACCCTGGAAAATGATAACATTAAGCGTTCTTCAACAAACAAAACAGTTGTTGTAATTTTATTGGTTATTCTTGCCTATGCTAAGGCAACTAACACTCAGCGTGATTATCATGACAATGATCATACTACTGAAAACTCAAGCTTTAAACACACTGGTTAGTTACTGGGGGTAACTATCGTTATTCTGTCTAGTTCTGTTGACTAAATTCTGTCGGCCAATTTTCCAATGCGGTTGCCAATCTTAGAGTCTTGCCATCGGTGCAAAACTCTGAACTGATGTTAGACTTTTGGAGGTAATCAGCTTGAAACCCTGAACCCTGGTTTCACACCAACTGGCACTCGTCCGTAATACGTACCTACAAACTTGAAGAAACTGACTTCTCTTCTGATATGAAAGTGATGAGAAACATAACTTTGAGATAGATATCTGAGAAGTGAATATGATTGTGATAGAATTATAAAACGACATTTCACAAAACAATTAAAATAAGACAAAATAAATGTAATGAAAATTCGGGAGATATTGGAGGATTCGAAGAACAATACTATGAAAGAGATAAAATAAAAAAATAAATGCAAAGAGAATAAATGAATTCTTAAGACATTGTAGGGGAAACCACAAGTTCTTTCCGTAAAATTGCTTAGTTTAACGAGAAAACGCACATATATCAATGTTCTCTGCTGAAGGTCCCCAAAAAGGCTGTTTAGTAATGCTTGTTTCTTAACAATTTTCTAATAAATTAGATCCATGATGAAGCTAACTTTGGAATCAAAAAATAACGTTTCATTATGGATTTGATATTGACACGGCCGGAAATACGTTGGTGGTACAATGGCAGAATGTTTTACAACCACGCACATGATCTAGGTTCGACTCTTGGATGATGCATTTCTAAACCTCACTTAGTTTACTAACCAATAATAAGTCCAGAAGAGAATCAAAGCTGAGCATGAGGATAGCAACCACTACTGAAACTTCGAAAACTGAAGCTGTATGCACTACTCAGAATGCAAAGGAGTGAAAACGAACAGCCTGATTGATGTGAACTTGAGCTTTTTGCCTTTATTTTTAATCTAATAGAAGGTAGTACATAAAGGTCTTCATTTTTCGGCTTCACCCACTTAGTTAAAAGGGGTACATTATTACTAATGTATAAATTTTCAATTTATTTTAAAAATATATGACTTATTTCTAAATATTTGAAATAAGGAGATTCCTCAATTTACTAGCAGGTATATCATTTCAAACCAGTATAAAAAATACTTTTGACTGATGCGAGCATTTAAAGTCTGCACATCTTAATAAGAATTATTCACATTCTGAAGCTGAGGGTGAATAAATTCCACTACTGCTCTCTAGACAAGTAACGTGAATAAATGAAATATATGAATGATATTGACCCACAGAATTCGCCTGGATGTTAGTTGGCTCTTTATTTAGGTGTATTCTTGTTTTCATTACAGTCAGTCTGTTTATGATTTCTCTCATTTATTAGGCAGTAAATAGCTATTCATTTCTCAGTGGGGATAAAAAAACACCTACGACTGACCTTAGTAGTTCACTTACCTGAAATACGGTTAACAAAGCTTTCACAAATGTATCGAAATTCTGGCCTGGTTTACCATCATCGAAATTAAATCTATGGATAAATTTAACGCAAATATTGATTTAAATGGGATATATATATATATAGATCAAAACAGATAAATATTTCTATACACTATACTAAAATGTTTCTGTCTTCACTCTCCAAGTTCTGAGTGGAGCAGAGGGGTTCAAGCTTTTAAGTTTTAATTGTGGTGGCATTATTACACAGAGTGAGACTGTTAGGCGAAGACCTAATCTTCCCTCTTCTCTAAACTTACTACTGGCTACGTGAGTTTGTAGAGTGTGTCACCTGAGAATGGAACGTGGAATGATAAAGTGTTACAGTGGTCTAATTAAATCTGCATATTGCACCTTGATTCCAGTGTTAAGCCGTGATCTCAAAGGGCTTCAGTCTGATGTATATGACCAGTCTTCGCAGGATTCAAGATTATGTGATTACACTTATTATAACAGAAAGCTATAAAATCCAACTAAAACTGAAATGGTGACTCAAAATATGAGTTATTTCGAACTGATCATACCGGAATGTAGTTGCAGCATTATCATAAAATAATAATAGCTAGTATAACGCAACGTCGGGGGTGTCTATCCCTCCAAACAATGATCGTAGCCTATTTGCAAATGTTGTTACAGATAAAATATTAAATAAATTAGTAATGAAAGAAATATTTATCGCATAGATTCACACTAGTCTTGTCAGTTTCACAGCTGTTTTATTTTTATATTATGGTCAGGAAATTCATGTACTTAGTCCTAACAGATCATAACAACAATATGATATTATCCCATGGGTAACATTAATCTTGACATGTTAATTACATTTTTCATACAGAAAGTTGATATATTTGAGTAAAACATGAATTCATTTTAGGTGTTATTTTTATTCACAACATTTTGTTGCTCATTTAGGTGAATGATAAGATGAAAATAAAAATTTGATGACATCGATTGTACTGATAAAGATAATGCTGTGAAATGTAATGAGATAATGATGATGCTCACAACTATATTCTTTTTTCTACCCTATATTTTGAAAAAGCTTGTGAATATTTGACACATATACACTGGCGACGTACTCACTGAATAGATGAGCACACGCATATACCCCAAAAGTTAGTTGACACCTAGTCATCTTTAAAAGAAATTACATCAGTCTAACTTTTAATCGTTTTTTTCTTCTTCTCGTCTTTCATCCTTGAAAACATTTTATTCATATGTACATACTTTATTATCTTTGAATGTGTTAATTTGGCGGTCTAACTGAATCACTGGGCTACATGAATTTCTATCCAACATAGTGTATCATATTTTCTCTGATTGTTATGGTTTTAACCAGTCAATTTCACCTTTCAGTCGCAAAATGAACTCATGCACATGTTTGATTGGCTTTCGAAGTATCAGCATGAATTTTCCGGAGATGAAGGAAAAGTATCATGAAACATTATACCATGCTTCTAATCGAACAACAATTCGTCACATTATATGCTATGGATTGCTGGTTTTCTTGAAGATCATGGATGAAGAGAAAATATTATGCAATAAATTGAGCTGAGAATTCTGTACATTGTTAGACATTGTCAGAATAAAGCCATTATTAATATTATTCTACTGTAATTATTAATAATGGTTGTTATTGTAATTATTATCATCACTTACCGTTATTCATCTAATATACTTATATTTACTGCATCCACAGTCTTTCATACTACCATTTATAAATTATCTCTTAACAACCATGTCTGTTTTTGTTTCAAATTTACGAGCAAACGCCTTCCAGTTGAATATACATTATATATATATATATATTATTTCTTTTGCGTTCCGAGTGGAACATAGGGCTTTAAACTAGAGCTTTGAAGTTTCAGTAGCAGTGGTGGTTTTTAGGGAACAGGTTTGCTAGCCTCATAACCAACCTCCCCTCTTTGCCGATTTTACCACCGACTTAGTGAGGTTTAGGAGTACGTCAGCAGGGGATCGAACCCAAGACCACATGTGTGGTTGGCGAACATTCTACCACTGAACCATCGTTGCACCAGAATAGATATAGGTCTTATTATATATATATATATATACTGTAGCCAACTTTAACTGCCTGCTCTCACGTCTTTTAACTTGACTGTGTTTTTTAATCAGTATACCTTAGTCATTTTACAGTCATAATTTCACATATTCTTTATAATGATAATACATGAAATTATAACTGCAATTATTGAAGTCATAAATAAATACTTTTTCTATCGAAAAGTGATTTACAAAATGCGAGTATGCTTTTGTAAAAACTAGTGGTTAAACTTACTCTCCACCAAATAATTGCATACCCAGTAGAGCAAATATAAGCATGAATAAGAATAGTAGAAATAGAAGACTGAGTATACTTCTCATTGCATTTAACAGAGATAAGACCAAATTGCGTAACGATGCCCAATACCTGAATTTTAAAGCAGAAGAAACATGTTAGGCTTAACATTTATCTCAAAATATCATTTCAAAGTGTTTTTTATTTTAAAATAAGTAGATTCATCATAGAGAAAGAAATTGAAATTAGTGATGATTAGCTTTTCTAGAAGAATCTGGAGGAATTGTAAGGTTGCTAACAATCAACTGCTTATTTCATCCAATTTGGGATTTGTTTTTTTAATGCTTTTGTTATATGAATTTAAAAATAGAGCAGTATAAAAATTGATCACATTAGACTGGTATTTTCTCAAAATGTAAATTCTTATTTGGTTTTAACAGCTATGCAATTCTAAGTTTAAAATTTTTAGTGAGGCGGCATTGTTTTAGGTAGGAATAATGTTTTACAGGAGTGGATTTTATTCCCTGAAAACTTTTATTCGTAGCAAACCACTTTATGCACACAGCTTTAATTCATTTTTTGATAATGTCTGAAATAGATTCAAGTTGTCACGTGGCTGCTAAAGTGGTTTAAAGTATTATGATTTATTTGTTACTTCTTTAAGCACTTTCTCTCTCTCTCTCTCTCTATATATATATATATATAACCACCGTGATAAGCATTCAAGTTTTTTTTTTTATTGGGAAATTCGCTGCGTGAATTTTCAAAATTAAAATTAAGCGGGTGTCCTTTTAACCCTATATTTATTACGATAAAAGGCTTTCTGCAGTATAATGTTAACAAACATAATAAATCAAATTTATGCAGAACATTTCATTGATCAAATTCTTTCCCTAAAAAGTTTCATTTGAAAAGGTTAAAGAATGGAAAAGAAATCTTAAAAGTTAAAGAAAGATTAAACAGCTTGATCAATTTCATTAGCTACTTTCCCGCTTATCTTTTGAAAAAATGATATTAAATTCAGGCTGACAAGTGTTTTCCGTAAGGTTAAACAAGTGAAATAGGAGAGTTTAATGGTTTCAGCTTAGACAGAAATGACGACTGTTTTACTCAATTATGCAAAGCAACAATATTTTGCTTCCAGCTTGGCTTGTATTAAACTGTTTTATAAAAAGTGTCATCAACCGATGACGTTTAACCTAGGGAATACTTCATAGTATTAAGTTAACAACAAAAGTCTTGAATAGCACGGCTAAAAGAGTATCCTAGCTTAATAATATTACCAGATTGAAGGTAATTTTGATGTATGAAAGGAAATTCTCGCCTGACAGTATAAGACAGTCAGACACACAGGTTATTATTATGTTTCAATAACCAAGTGACATGCCTAAAACAGAGAGCGAAATTCTTTTTACGTCAATAATAATTCCAGCACACACAATAAATTATTATATCGGTTAGTCCTCGAACTTACATTCAGCGTGCCCCATTTGTTTGTTTGTATTTTTGTAGTATTCATATTTCTCTCACGACAGCGAATATAATTCACCCCCTCCTGATTTGGAGTATGTCACTTCATTGTATATTCACATTTTATCCGATTTTCTCAATGACTGCACATTTTTATATGCATTCAATTAAGAGGCTTAACTAATGGTCTGTTATTCTGTCTTATGATTTTATCTCACTACAATTTCTAGTGTAAATCTGATTTGCCTTTACTGGCTATTTGTATTCTTATATTCATTGGATTTATAACTGTAGAGCCTGAAGTTACTGAGATCAAATGTTCGTTCATAAAATTTTACTTGTTATGACTGTTATCATTACATTACTCATTCTTGCATTCTGAGGAGGACTTAGGGCTTCAGGAACTTTGAATGTCCCCAAAGTTTATTCGGAGCAAGAATAATTAGAGCGAATAGTTGTTTTCAATAACGTCAGTTATAAACCCACTAATATAAACACAATAGCCAGTTAGGCAAATTAAAATTGACCACAAAGTATATTGTGGCATGAGTACAAGATGGAATAATAGTTTCGAATGTCGTTTAAATGCATGCAAAATACAGTCAGAACATGTGATAAAATTAGATTCAACAAGTGAATGAAATGCTCATTAGCTTTAAATCTCGTTTACGGAAATGGAAACATTACAACAGATAACGATGATGTGAAGAACGAGATCTCTATTATAAGACAAATTTTGATTGGACAGTTATCCAAAGATGCTTCTAAATAACATTATCAATGGGAAGGGCGAAGTGAGAAAGAAGGTTGAAAAATAGTGGGTGTCGACGACAGCCATTTCATATAGAAAAGATACCCGTGAAGAACTTCAATGAGTACTTGCTTTATATGATGTTAAAGACTATTTCAAGTCCTCTAATTCTTCAGAAAGCTTTAATGAATGTCGAAGATATATTCTCAAGAATTAGTTTGTAGAGATGTGATTTCTTTCAAGTGAGACAAGCGACTACTGGGAAGCAGGAAGTACTGGATAGCTGCTTCATCCTAGTTGGGACTCATCAACAGTGCCCACCCACTGGGGTTCGAAGCCAGAACTTCCGGTTACAAGGCAAGCTCGTAAACGAATCAGTCACTGGGAACCCGACTTAATGCCCCATGAATTCTAACTTTTAACAATTGGCGATTTTAGCGCGACCACCATCCATTTTCATTAGCGAGTATCTGTTTTCATTTGTTCCAACTCTGACCGAACAAATCAAAACCCTACAAACAAACTCTTAGAAATTAATCTGATGTCTGCTAGTGAACAGGTTCAGGACAAAGTTGTCTGGAGTTCTACTGAGAATTCGTAACTAGTGAGTGCCACTACGTTGGGAGTGAGGAAGATACTCGCCTATGACATTGGCTGGTGGTCGCATCCCAGTGGCCGAATCTTTTACTAATTTGCATTGTAACCGGAAGGCCCTGGGTTCGAACCCCTGAGGTGGGTGAATCCTGCCATGATCCCAAACTAGCATGAAACAGCTGTCCAGTTATCCCTAGTTTCCAATGGTTCCCTAAATGATATCAATCCATGGTCATACGTGAAGATGTATTTCTCCAAATCCCGAAAACAACTTTGTCTATAAGACAGAATGTTCTGAACATGAGGCTTGCTATAGAGAGGAAAGTGGTAGACAAGTGAATGTCAGAGTGAATGAACGCAAACTGTGCACAAAACGTCCGCCCAGAAATCAATTAGAATTTGAGTCTGGAAAAAAGACCAGCTATAGCAATGCATGCTTTAGAAAGCTGACATAAGAGCTATTTCGAAATTGTCGAAATACTAGGAAAACGCTTTCATCCACATAAAGAAAGGCTGAACACTGAAGTTTTATGCTGTGACCTCTGTAAAAAATATTATCATATTTTTCACGTAATAAATAACGTGTTTTCCATAAGACAAACAACATGCACAAACACACACAAACAAATTTCAACATATGACAGCTTGACATTAGTCAATACAAACATACAATAACCTTTTGCATTTTCCGTTAGTAAAATATCTACCGACAAGTGACCTTCAAAGGGATTTGGTTTATTTAATTTTTAGCTCTATATTTTGATATTTAGTTAAATTCGAGTAGTATTGCTGAAGAAGCTGTGGCTTACACAGAGGAACGTTCGGAAAAATCATGGTTTGATTTTTTTCTTAAATAGCTGGGATTATTTTATGTAGTTTATAATGATTCAATCTGACTCGGCGCTCAAATTACTCCAGGATATTCGTAACATCAGTGTCCTGGACATTTATAATCTGTGGTTAAATGTCCATACTAGTTAAGGCATAATTATTATTGAAAACATAAATAGGTAAACATAAACACGCCTATTTTCAAATAAGTTTCAACCGCCTTGCATTTTTCTAGGGAATTAGGGAAAAAACTTAGCAGGTTATTAAAGTGCTTTGGAAAGAACTGTTTTACTGATTATTAGTTTATTTGGAGATTCTGCAATAGGAGTAGGTACTTTGCAGCAGAACAAGTTGAGAATTCCGAACTCCTTTTTCAGAATATTATTAATATATCACGATCCAAATGAAAATTGGCCAATTACCTTGCACAACCAATCATACTGTCCCCCTAACAACATCCGTTCTATTTACTATATTCACAAGCTAACATTGAATTTCATCCTGATTTCTTTCCCTTATGTTTAGGATTTGGGTTAAGAATCAGGTTAGGGTTTGGTTTAGTATCAGGCTTATAATCAAGGTTAGTACTAGCATTAGGGTTTATGTTAAAGTAATTAAATTGATTTCCATATGTATATTCGTCATAAATAAACATTTCTAAATATTCATGTTTTATTGTCGTGTGGCTAATCTGATTGGTTGAACAAAGTCACTCGGTAGGTCGTTCGCTGGAGTTGTGGTACTATGCTTTTGTCAAGTTTTACCACGTATTGATGGCAGTTAGAGAACCACTGATAACCAGGGAGTATTAGACAGCTGTTTAGTGCTAGTCAGGATTCATCGGAGGACTCATCGAGGACTTCCGATTACAAGGAGAGCTTGTAGGCCATTCAGCCAATGGGACCAAACTCAATGACCCATGGTTTCTAACTTCTACCAATTGGTGATTTCGGTGTAACTAACAGCCATTGTCTTAGGCGAGTATCTTCCTCACTCCCAGCGTAGTGGAGCTCAATAGTCACGACTTTTCCGTAGAACTCCAAACAACTTTGTCCTGAACCTGATCACTAGCAGACATCAAATTAATCTCTAAGAGTTTGTTTGTAGGGACTTGATTTGTTCTCCAATTTTGACCGTGTAGTGATATCAGTTAAAGAACTATTGAAAAAACTACTGGACATCTGTTTGGTACTCATCGGCAATACGCACCCACCGGGTTTCGAACCCAGGACCTTCCGATTACAATGCAAGCTCGTAGACCCATCAATCCCTGGTGAATCTTGAAACAAATCAGCTCTTGAAAAAGCTGTATTTACACAAGTATTTTAGTGGCAAATCATTACGACCAAAAATCTGAGAGTGAGAAGTGAGTAAATTGTTGAATGAGTATATAACTAATCCCCGAAAATTTCGTTCCCTTTCATTTCTAGCTGCATGATAGGTTAGGACAAAGGCTTTCCTCAGGTAGTTGATGGTATGCAGGTTTCTATGTGTCTTTGTATTACATTTTTAAGTGTGGATACTTAATCATTTGAGATGTCACATTTAGCTGTTTTAAAGGTGTTTTATCGACTTTTACACAGTTGAAATATCTGTTGCGTTGTTTGCCATACTATGCGCGAAAAAATCTTGAAAGTACTCTTAACCTCACCCAAATTCTTACTTCATTGCAATTCTAAACATACGTGTGTGATGAAATGCGTAAATACAGAGCTACATTGGAAGTCAAATATCAAAGTGACCATGGATGATAGTGAATATATTGTAATACATAATAATGATTAATGTTTAGATTAAATTTTTATTTATTTGATCTCATTATTAATGGATGATATTATCAAAAACATGGAGGGAAAATGGGGTAGAAAGTTGTGTGTGTGTGTGTATGTGTGTAGGTGGAAAAATTAAGAAAAAGTCTGTCTTTACAAGCGTAGGAATACAAAGACGAATGAATCAAATAAATCATGTTGAACAAGTAATAAATAATGAATAAGACAAAATGTCATTCCTAGTAGGTAAGACATAATACTGCATGGATGATTTCATATGTTCCACAGGTTGGCAGTAGTGATTACAATTGTTACTTCTGAAAAATTCAATTCGAACCATAATTATAAGCATTCATCATTACTATAAAATCATTGTCATTCATGATCATTTACATTGACAGCTGGCGTCCAATTTATTGCTAATATTTATGCATATTATCGCACATGCATATTTCCAATTATGATGAAGTAATACTTTGCTCATCACCTAAACCTCTCAGATTTTCGTACCTTATGATCTTATATCATTAAAGATCCCCATGAAGTTACCTAAAACAGTTGTCCGTTCTAAATATTCTTGTCCTGAAATCTTACAAACATAGTTATAACGGGAAACAACTTTGATGCTATGTCATCTATTGAGATGACCTTATAAACCTGTAATTTCACTAAAGGTATGATATTATTAAGGTTATCACTTGTCACAAATTGTTCCACCGACCATGAATGCTCTCGCCTTAAGGTATTTGGATATACCAACATCGTGTTTTATCAGTTTAACCATCTTTTCTGTTTGTTCAGAACGCGTTTTAGTAGACCACTCAAGCGCATTTGAATCTCTCACTAAATTTGAATATAATGTTCCAATTTATTTACTCTATAAACAGAAGCATAGTGGTTTACTGAAATATATACATATATATATCAGTATATCAATATATATCAACATTTTTCACCTGTGTATAAAAAACTCACCTTGTAATTTTAAATATTCTCAAAAGACGAATACTACGTAAAGCAGAAAATCCAAATGAATCTGATGGATAGAAAATTTGCCATACAATTTCGAACAAACTGGCAAAAACAACCTTTTGGTAGAGGAAGAAAAAAAATAACCACAAGTAAGGATGAATATTCCTAAGAAGAAGATTAAAATGTCAGAAAACCAAGAATATTCATGTTAATTTCCACTGTGTCAAAATTTCATTATATTTTTGACAAAACAGGATGACTTGGGCCTAAAAACACGTGTGTTTTTAAGCATCTGTCTTTCTAGTAGGAATGGGGCGAATGAGTGGAGCACACTTGTGAGATTACTCTGTAGTTTCACTGAAAAACTGCAAATTTTAATCTAACCAACAGTATAAAGGTCATCAGTTACAGTAAGCAAGTAGACTATACGACAATACAACCAGTTGGATCGAGTGATCGGAAATCGCTCACACTAATTATCAATGCACGTTAATCACGTCAACATCATATTAGCAGAATAGCTACCTCAATGAGCTTACTGACAAAAATGAGTGAGACAGACTTTAATTTCTAATTAATGACAAAAGGTGATAACTTCCCCAGCAATAATTGCATTAAAGAAGTTTTGTTTCCGATAGTATTTATATCACTCCATCAAATTTTATAGGCTCATCTCAACTTAATGGAGCATTGCGTAGCTTATAGAATGATTAATGGACTAAGGTGTAGCATGGTATGCTGGATTCTGTGTTCCTTATTCATTTTAACTTACACAGGCTTTGTATCGTGGGAAATGAACTAAATTAGAAAATATCTCAGATTTATAAACCGGAATAAATCGGACTCCCAATTTTATTTCTGATAAATCTGAATAGCGTTTCTATGAATGCCACTGCCACTCTTCAGTTTTGGTACCTATTTTGAGAGCATAGGTATGTCAGATATAGCTTAACAGGAAAGCTTCTCATACATGATGCAGAAATGTTGATAAAAATGAACTTTTGGGGGTAGAAAAACCAAATTGTATTTATAACTTTGTTATTTAACAGTCTGTACGTTGAGAACAAAGTGATACTCTAAAGACCATAATACGAATGATTTAAGTTGAAATTAAAAATATTATCATTTTCTTTACATTTATTCCCCTTAATGAATTTAAATAAAGCAAGAACAACAGTTTTGGCAGAATAAAATGGTACCATCATTTATTTCGCTGATGAGAAGCTTTTTCCCAAGAAAAAATACTGACACATACATGGTGAACGGACACCACACTGACTTTGGCGGCTTGTACCGGTAATTCAAGCATCAATGGGTCTAGGGTGCACAGTTCTCTCCACTTACTTTGAACAATGTCACTCCAGTAGTATCATAAATCTACATAGAACAGGTGTCGCTCTTGACCTCATATACATAGATTTTATGATTCTTTGTGGCCAGCAGATTGCGTATACAAACTGCTTCGCCTAAGAGCTTCGAGTATAGCTAATAATGCAGATATATTTTGATGTTAATTGGTAAGAACTGTTATGTTTACAACAGTCAATATCGAAAACTCAGAGCATGCTTTTAAGCACTTATATATATGTCAGATTGACGAATTATGGCACGAAACATCATGTAACCAATACAATTATATACTCAGCTGATAGGTTTTCGGAAGTTAATTAACCTAGGATGAGGATTTTTTAGGCGAAGTGTGACACTAACTACAGAACCAGTAAAAAATTTTCCACTTTGAATTTAGTCTCTTCAAAAGTGAGTCCTTCATTTGTAGATTTATCTTCACAAGAAATTAAAGGCGCAGTCTCGTAGATCTTTAGTTATTTTTCCTAACACAGAAAGCATTAAAATGTGTGTTCAGCCATCAAAATTTCCTCATTTTAAAATCCACTGTTTATTCCCAGTTATATTTTACAAGTGAATAGTATTATAAAGCCAGTGTTAAGCATTTTGTTTTCCTAATAATTAACTGTAGAGTTTCACACATCCATTGGCAATTTGACTGCTTTTACTTGTTTTCACAATAATGATGAATGTCATGAGGACATATCTCAGTGTCATTCAAAACTGATCATCACTAAACGGACCGATGAACCTAATTCAGTGTAGAGAATCGAAACAAAGATGATGGCAGTACCAGAATTTGTTACAACGTCAAAAGACGGAAAATGGAATTGAAAACTAAAACACAATATAAATGTCCTCCTTTTAAAATAGTTTCTTTAAGTTACTTAGCTGAAATGCTTTAAAAGTTGATAGGGTTGAATAGAATGCTTGAAACTTAAGGAAAAATACAGATCTTTTTGTAACTGAGGTATTTAAAATGTCTTGAAAAACGTCTAGTGGCTTACTGTAACAGATGAAATATACATCCAGCTCAACTATTTTTCAACCATTTTATGACCTTCCCATCAGAATATAGATTTCGCACATTGCCATAGGTGTATCTTATCAAATGTTGCCCTTACTCCATTTATATTCATAAAAAATAATATATTCACTTTAAATTCACTTCAATAACGCAACTGTATTCACTTATCATTTTAGAAGTGGTATAACAAAAAAGAATGAATGTTTTATGTGACACAGAAAGCAATTCAGTACACTGTAGTTTGACTATTCAACTTACCGCAAAATCAAAAATATTGAATGTTGAACGGAAGTAGATCAAACAACCTAATCCATAAATTTTAACAATCATTTCAAACAGAAAAAGACCGAGAAAAATAAATTCCGAGAAATCTATTAAAAAGAGAAAATAACAATGCATAGAATGTTCGGTATTTGAAAAAACATAATAATAAACAAAATACCAGTTAAAGCGTTAAATAAAAGCTTAGTCTTTGAATAGCTGAATAGTGTCATTTTCAGCTTATCAGAGTGTGACACTGTATTGAAGCTCTTGGAGTTTTTATTGAATAGTGAAGAGATAGTAACTGCTTCATCTGTTTCGCATGCTTATTCATGAAGAAAATTCTTTCTTCCATTTTGTAAATTTCATAAGTGAACACTCCTATATAATTTACAAGTTTTGTGCAATTACAACACCTTAACGTGAACAGTTTTTACATTTTTACCTAAAATGCTCTGTCATTAATTCTACAGTCTCATTCGCTTTCACTCCTAATTGATATAATCTGTGATAAGATGAATATGTTTTGAAAGATTACCGGTTGAATAGAGATTGGAGAATTCCATGAAATCTTTTTGGGTTAAAAGTTACTGAACTGTGACAGATTACTTTACTTCCTAAAAGTCTCTTACCCCATATAATACATGTGTTATTACTTTCGGAAGCATACTTAACTATGTTTGTTCTACGTACTGAATGCATATATATATATGTCTTGTTGAACTTTCTAGTAGTTTGTGTTTCCGTTTGATGAAGTTAGGACTTTATAAAAGCTGTAATCAGTGATACGTAATGTCCTGAACCTTTTTCACACTTCACGTGAACTTTCCCAAATTTCATTTGCTGCAGTTATTGAATAAGATTGGCCTAAATATATCTATCTGAAAGTTATTTTATTTCATGTTGATATTATGAGTAAACACATATTGCAGAAAATAAATTATAAATCAATGTACTTAAACAATATTCCATTGGTTAAGTCTTTACATCGGTATCTTTTTAGTCTTTTGTGATTGCTCAAATGCTATTTAACATTGCAGTATGTCGAAGTTTTATATTGATTCTGTGGTAAACTGTACTCTGCGTGCATCTAAAATGACTACAAATCCAAAAGACATGCTCTGAACACTCATTAAGTTCATATATATATATAACTTAAAAATACTATTTATAATGAATAAAAAGAATCAGATCTCACCTTAAACTACTTGCAGATTTATTTGTATGTAAACCCTAGCTAGTAAGCACAAGAGGAAGTTGGCAGATTCATTATCTTTTGGACAAATGTTCACTGTGAGTGATTAAGCATAAGGACAACTAATGAAAGACACCTTTCCAGATCATGATTTTTAGTATTTCATCATGAGCTGACATTGGTTAGAGAACTATTGGAAAACCTGGGAGTATTGGATAGCTGTTTCGTCATAATTTAGGTACTCTTCATCACTACGCACCCACTGCCAGGGTTCGAAATCAGGACCTTCTGGTTATAAGACGAGCCTGTGGACCATTCAGCCACTGAGACCCAATCCAACAGCCCATGAATTTCACGATATGGCGCGACCACTAGCAAATGCCATCAGTGAGTATTTGTCCTCACACCCGACCTGCTCTGTACAAATGTTCATGGCTTCTTCTGAGAAGTCCCAAACTAGGCCGAAACAGCTGTCCAGTACTCCCAGGTTTTCCAATGTTTCTCTAATCAATGTCAGCTCATGATGAGATCCTGTAACCAATCAAATCCATGCAAACCAACACTTGAATATCACGATTTTTAAATAAAGTTAGAACATATATTTTATAATATATATATTAAAATATTCAGTTACACATCACGAAAAACATCTATTACTGTATGTAAATGCTTCTTTTACTCTTTAAAAACAGGATGTTTTTAGGAGTATACATAAGATCTTCTACCATAATTTTAGGGACATTTTTAAAAATACCATAGTGTGAAGAACATTAAAACTACTGTTGATTAAATACAAGTTGTTTTCACAGCATTTAATGTGTTCTCAGAGATTAGAAGGTTATATTCAGAGTATTAAACATTATTTATCGGTCGTTTGCATTACATGAATAGATCAGTAGCATATTTTTTGTTCACTCAAAAAATAGTTCCTTTGAAGTTTGTTAGAAATGAATTTGGAGAAAATGAGAATAGTGGATTACTTTTAGTACATCTAAAAATCGTCTTAATAACTTTCTTTCGAATGACTGAATTTCGCCGTACAACTCTGTCCATTTAATCAATAACTATTCTAGTAGTATTAACTCTGTATCCGAGGTGATATTATTTCATACATTACATCAAATAATGAAACAGGGATAACTGCAGTGTCTTGGTATGTTTCGCTAAGAAAGGCGGATAATGTAGCTTTTAAACTTATTAATTTAGTTGCTTGTGTAGTACCTATAGTAACTGATTTCCATTTTAAGATAAATCACTGAAATCAGAACGGTAGTTTATTCAACTATTTTACACTTCTTTCATTTTCTGTTCTAAATGGTTTTGTCAAGTATTTGTAATTTATTGTGTTTTGTATTGTAACCATCTACAGGTAAAACTGTGCGGGTTTTACGTTAAAAATAAAATCAAAAAGAGTGTTTCAAACATCACAATCCAGGAAACCAGTAACTCAAAGGCTCGAAAGTTATGAGAAGAATGATCGGTCGTCTCTTTAAGTTAAACTGACTGTTGTACATTGAATTTCACTTTTTGCTTAACAGCAAAAGTGTTTTCGGTTTTAGTACATAAAAATACTCATGTTGTGCATTTGCTAATTGATCTATACAACTATAAGGTAGATAGTTCAAAGAAAAGAGAGCCTTGACTTACTAAATATTACATTAACAAGCCTAAAGGACAGATCAGATAATTAAATAAAGCCAAAATATATGTTCAGTAGATGTTTATCAAGCTTGATCACTTACCATTTACAAAGATACCGACTGGCTATACAATCCTTTCATGATAGTTGTATTAAACAAAGACATTTGTTGGATAAAATCAAAAGTATAATTACTCATAAAAGCAAGCATTTAACTTACATAAAAAATCTGTAAGCCAAGCTGGTTGCCCATAGAATTCTATAGAGACACAGAGTGCATTCAGCAACACTAGCATAATTACAAACATATAGAATTTTTGTGATTTAATGAGACGTCGGACTGCATATCTACATTAAAAGTGCAAAAATAAAACAATGAAGAAATGACTATGATCCAGTGTGTTTTAATTATTCCAGTGCGGAAAATGTGAAAGTTATTTGGAAAGTTAACACCAACTAAACAAATCATGCATCAACCATTTCATCACTGTCTACGATTTCAGCACGTCATATTATTAAAAACTCACCAAGTCTATTCCATAGAGTACGTTCTCGGGTTTAAAAAAGATAATGTTTTAGACTGTAAACTAAACTCAGACTTTCAACATAAATTCAACCATTATGCCATCTACTTACTAACCCTGTATGTCAGTATATTGTTTATCAAGGATGCCACTGAATGCCTTTTTCCGTAATATAAATATGACTGTACACCTTGAAAATGAAGTCGTTGAAACGAAATACTTCTTCTCTGAACAGAAACTGTATTTTTCCTTATGGACTAATGGGTATATTTCACGATATCAAGGAACTGCTTACATTTTTCAACTGTAAAGTGTAAAGTGAAATCTACTCTCTTCCTACTAATTAAATAGATTTCTAAAAATTATGTATAAAATACATTTAATGTAAAATTTCCAGTGAGTTATCCTCTGAATTCAAATCTAAAATGAGGTATATATAGTTTCTATTGTCCCTAAACCTTTTGGAGTGGATCTGCTGATTCAAAGATAGTTTTTATGCATCACATTGGTTTCGGACGTCAGCCAGCTGATTATTAGAATAAAATAATTCATCACAAACTACCTCCACTATAGAAGTTTTTTGACTATTTTTCTTTGTTTAAACTGCCTCTTAAATATTCCTGTGCTCTCTACCGCCGGTCGTTATCTCAGTTTATCTGCAGGTATATGAATACCGTAAAAAACGACGAATATAAAAGGCGATATAAATACATGTTGTGTAATGCAGCGACAGTTGAGATATTTATTTTGCACAAGGTTCCAAAATCAGCGGCAAAAGTTAGAATGTGTGATTTGGCTCTCGGTGGAGGTCCACAATAAAAATCAAAGTGAATGCCAGTAATTTAGTTCGAGACTATTCATCAAACAGTAAAGGTAAAAGCTCGTTTTTTAAACAAATTTGGTTAGATAACAGAGGAGTTTCGCGTTTTCAGTTTAACCTCTTGTTTTACACAAGATGGATAGCTTATTCAAACTAGGAAGACTTAGAAGGACTGAAGAAGGATCTTCACTTTGAATGAGAATCGGAAATTAAAAACTTTTCACATCACTATAAAACCCATCACACTCTGAAGTGTTATAAGTTATTCATTTTCCTCACTTCAAATACGATCAAAATAGTAGCATATTACAACAAGTAACCTTTAAAAATGCATACTGACTTACCGAAATCTTTTATGATATTGAAATAAAGCTTCAGTCCCAGGTATCATGAATTTCCGCTTCGCTTTTAATTCTGTATTTTTTGAAACAGTAGAGTTGAAGAGTTGATTTAAGTACAGAAAGCATAAATATCAATGCGACTATAAGTATGTTCATCTCTAGATGATCAGTTATATTTCAATTTATTTTTGTAAACTTGACAGCAATAAAGTGCTTAGAAAATCAGAAAGAAGACTTACCTAGCGATCAGATTTCATCTCCTATCTTTTACAATGTAGGTTTAGCTATCTGGAAACGCCTTTTTTCTTTGCATGAGTGTATTGAGCGTCTTAGTTTCTAGTCCGATTATTTGATCAGATTTACTTCCCCTAATTTCAAACATTTATAAATCCTACTGTAATTCTTCTATAATCGTATGTATGATTTATCACGATGTTTCTTTTAAACACAAATCAATGCAAGATATTTTACAGTTATTAGTATATTTCACTTTCGAATGAGTTTATATTCATATATTAACACGCTCTTACATTAAAAACACCTATCTCTATGGAAATTGTATCATGATTATTATTTTATAAAACCAAATCTAATCTTCTTTGTGACTCCTGTTCCAGGTTGTATATTATATTGCATACTACTATAGTGTAGCATTCAAAAATGTTAAAAAAGACATAGATTTCTGACAACATGGCTGAAAACCGGATATCGTGTCACTGACAATTAAATTTCTATCAAGTTCATGAATCAGAACACTCCTACTATTTTAATTATTCCTTATGAAACAAATGACATTATTTTAGACCTGCAACCATGACATATCTCCGGAATCGGAAATGTCCAATAAAAATTCCAATTAACTATGAACTTGATTTTTTTATGATGATAATTCAGCATGATATGCGCAGGCATTGAAAACTAGAAGCTTCAAGTTATTTCTGCAGAAAATAATTTCAGTATGCACTAGTTATATATCTGAAGTATTATTTTATTCCTTTTGTATTCCGAGTGGAACATAGGGCTTCATACTTTTGCTACGAAGTTTCGGTAGCAGCGGTTTTCATTTTTACAGGATGGGGTTGCTAGTCTCACGCCAAACTTCCCTTCTTTACCGGCCTTACTACCAGCTCAGCAAGGTATAGGTGTTAGTCGGCCAAGGATCGATCTCCGGACCACGTGAGGCGTGGTTGGTGAGCATTCTAGTGCTGAACCACTGAAGTAAAGAGAGTGATCACCAATGCATTCATTTAAAAATCATCTAAACTAGTTCGGTTATTACAATATACGGGTTATAAATACCAATTAACTATTTTTCAAACCTAAAAGTACCCGGTATATTGATAGGTCATTCAAACGCATTGCAAAAATTGTATCTTAGCTTCAGTTTATTTCTGGTCATGACTAACTGAATAGTCTAGAAATCAGTTAGATGTCTTTATTCACAAGAGAAAAACTAACGTTATTTTATGAATTTATTTTGATACTATTAGTGCTTTCGAAAGTATGATTACTAGAGAATGAAATCATTAGGAAGGTAAAAAAAAGAACAATCGTTCATCAAATGTCTACACAATGTATAGAGTAATTTCTCGTATACTATTTTCTCTTCGTCCATGATCTTTAAGTAAAACGGAAGTCAATAGTATATCATCTGACACAGTGCTATTCTATTTGAAGCATAGAATAATCCTTCATGACACTGTTTCTTCATCTCCGAGAAATGCGCACCAGTAGTTTGAAAGCTAATTAAAAGTGTGTGATGAATACACTTTGCGAGTCAAAAAACATAATTGAATGGTTAAAACAATAAGAATCAGAGAAAATATTATGCATTGTATGGGACGGAAATTCAGACAGCCCAGTGATTCAAGGAGTCAGTAAATACTTCATAAATGAGTGATGCACATTTCTCGCCTATTCAATTTTTTAAGTACAAAGTATTCTCTGTATACTTACTAATCTCAGAGAATCCATAAATAGTAAATATAAACAGCTTATTCCATCATTATCCTACGTTTACTCGAGAATTTCCATTGAAGAGACTGATTCCTCCACAAGTTAAAAAATATGCCTTGCAAAGTACGGGTGAACCAGAAATATGGAAATGATTCAAATATTGATTTGCAGGTAATGATATAAGAACAGTACCTTGACACTGATGGAATAAATTTATGTTAGTGTCTTGATATGATTATGAGCAATAAAGTGTGCTCGAAACGTCAGCAAACAGTACTGTATCATTATTCTATGATTGAATTCGAATATATTAATGTATCCTTTATGTCTACAGCAACTAATAAATGGAAGCAATACGCTCAAAATACCGATAACACGTATTTGCTTTAAACTAACGAGTAATGTGGTGCGTCGGTGACACAGAGGTAGAATGCTCACCAACCACGCATGTGGTCCGGGGTTCGATTCCCGGCCGACACACTCGCTAAGACAATAATAAAACTGGTGAAGAGGGAAGGTTGTGCTTGAGGCCAGTGACCCCATCCCGTAAAAATAAGCACCACTGCCACCGAAACTTCAAAGCTCTAGCTTGAAGCTCTATGTTCCACTGGGAAGGCGAAGGAATAAAAAGAAACGAGTAATATTACGCGCTATCTTAGAAACTAAATATTATACTGCTAGGCATGAACATTTTCAGCAAATTACCCATCGACGAAGGTAGTGACGGGTTATTTTAGGGTGTTGACATATGGAAACTACTAGCAAGCCGTACTGGTTGATATGAGCAGTATACAACAATTTAACCCAGTCAATCAGTGGTATTTACTTTTATGTATACACGCTTGCTTCCTTGATTACCATTTATGGTATCAAGTAGAGGAGGGAAACTACTCGGATTTCCCCTCTTTGAACTGTGTAAATTGCGAATTAATTTGCAAACTAAAAATAGCTAGCCAGAATTCAGGTGGTTTGAACTGATTTGGCTGTCTGAGCCAAGTCAAACTGAGTACACTACTGATAAGGTTGGCTCAAAAAGAGCAAAATGGCTGTTCAGTGTTCAGATCACCAAGATCTGGCTAGGAAGCACTACTGATTGATATGAGCGGTAAGCGACTACTTATTTCAATCAATCAGTAGTATAGAGTTTTATGAAAACTAGTAGTTTTCAACGCATATTTCGCATTCCTACTGAAATCGTATCTCTAAGGTGTACTGATAAGGAATTGAATACTCAATTGAATCTAGTGCTTTGTATTTTTCAGCAACCTTTTAGTCTTACATAACAGTTAAAAGCTAGCTTGAAAATAATTAACTCTCAAAAAAATTATTTTGTTAAATGATCAGTTATTCCATTTATTCGGCGCAGTTTTTTCACATTCTGCGTCCACTCACAGAAAAATTCTTCATTGCAAAAAATAATGTTTCGAAGCTGAATAGCTTAATCTTAGAAATCGAATACAAATGAATCTAGGTAAATGCATAATCTATTCAGAGTAAGGCTTATTTATGATGCATAAACGAAATTTTAAGCGAATTAGTTAGGGATATAAAGTAATCCCTGATGGAATTTTATTGAATTATTTACTTAACTAGTATTTGTTGTACATAGTATTTTAAAAGAAAGGAAATATATTCATAAAAATGCAAATTAGCTGACTGCATGTCTAATGTATAATTCTGACAAGATAATGTTCACAAAAGTTAGGGGCATTTTTCTGTTTACAGCGATTGATAATTTAATCAAAAGTTGTACATTACAGTATTATTCGCTATACGATGTTAGTTTAACAATATTCTTTGCTTCTATATACGCTAATTTTAGAGTTACCAGTGGACTGACGCCTACAAACATCAAGACTGAGTGTTGGGTGAAGTGAGTAATAAACAAAAATACATTAGATATTTTTGTTTTGACGAGTTGATCATGGATTGATATCAGTTAGAGAACCATTGAAAACCAGCAAGGAGTACTGGAAAGCTGTTTCATCCTAGTTTAGGAATCATCGGTAGTACGCACTCACAGGAAGGAGTTTCCTGGAGTTCTAGTGAGAAGTCGTGACCAGTGAGGTCCAACCAGTCAAGTGTGAGGATGGAGTTACCACTGATGACATTGGTTAGTGGTCGAGCTAAATGAAGAATTGGTAGAAGTTAGAATTCATGGGCTAGCCATTTAATGGGGTCCCAGTGGATGATCGGTATACGAGCTTGCCTTGTAACCAGAAGGTCGTGGGTTCGAACCCCGATGGGTGCGTACTGCCGATGATTCTCAGACTAGGACGGACGGAACAGCTGTCCAGTACTCCTTGCTGGTTTTCAACGGTTCTGTAACTGATATCAGTCCATGATGAACTCGTCGAAACAAAACTTATCTTTACAAATAAACTACTGAACACTTGATATTTGAGATATTTTTACAGAATAATAGAAGAGTGATCAAAATGAACCTAAAGACAAATTCGCTAATCTATTTTAAACGAAATTTGAATACCAATGAAGTGAATAATGTCCAGTGGAATCAATTGACATTTTCTCTCTTATATTTCAAATTACTGATATTTTTATGTTCAAGAAAGTTCTTTACGTCCACTGGTATTTCTCTTATCTTGTTTATCTAAAATCTTTCATCTTACAAAATCGAAATAATAAATCTTATCAACAAATTATTACTATTATTCAATTGTATAATGGTCCAGTGTGTTTTGGTGAGTGTCCCAAATAACAGATATGAATAATACATTATTTAAATGAATAATTAATCCATGAAAAGATGATCCAAACATTTTACCATGCTTCGCAAGAGTCTAATTATCTGTTCAGAGTTTTGATTTGGTCAAGAAGTAAACATACAGTATACACTCAAGATTGACACGATTGTATTTTTAACATGTACACAAAACAGGCCAAAGATTTTTCCTTTATGGCACCGAGAGAGCATACAGTAGAATGTTATCAAAATATTCCCTCATGCATTTATTCCCCTTTATGAATTTGAATAGAGCAAGAACAACAGTTTGGCCGAATAAGATGGTACAACCATTTACTCCGTTGGCATCTCATCAATTGCTGCTTACAGCATAAATTACTAACTTTATGCACAGAAAGGTTTCAACGCACGTGCAAATTTTCCACCATGCTACCTGACAGGAGACTCAAAACTTTATGAACAGTACTCACAAAATTACACACATTCTTTCTATACTGGGAGTTCAAGTTTAAACAAAATCAATGTATGCATGTAATGACAAAGGAGTCACATAATAAAGGCAAGGGGTGAGTGAGATGATGAGTAACCAATAAATTAGATAACTATGTGCTGAGTTCAACCCAACCATAGAAACAAGACACATGCAAAATTGCATTTTATCCAAGGGGAGGTGAAGTTAAAGATAACGATTGCGCAATCAAATGAAAGGGAGAGTAAAAACATCCAGTTATCAAAGCAAGGAAAGACTGATAACCGTCTCTTTCTGAACACAGAAATCGGGTTTCAGGTGTTTGATAGAGATCGCTTCGACAAACTGGAGGAGAATTGAGCTCGTTTGTCTATTGATAATTTTAAGAGATTTTGCGATTGTCACCTCATAACCCGTATCAAAGAGATGTTTGGTAATGGCACTATTGTAAGCGTTTGTCCCCTTGAGACGTAGGCTTTTCGGTACATGTTCAGAAAATCGGAGGTGTGCCCTTCTTTCTGTTCTCCCAATGTAAATGCTCCCGCAGATACACGTAAATTTGTATGCACAGTTAGAGTTAACTTGAGAAGGGTATCTGTCGACTTTTAATTGCACCAAAGAGCATGTTGTCCAATAGGCGGAAACCAACTTAGCTGCACGATAGGCTATGGCTAGTGAAGTACTCAACATTCTGTTGACTATTGCTGAAATATTTCCACTTTTAGAATCGAGTTGAATGAAGACAGGCTTTTTCTCCACTATGATTTGTTTGACATTTGAGCCTTAACATGTTTCATCCTTGTAAATGAATCTCTGAGGGTAACCGTTTTATTTCGACATCTTTTTGAGAATCATAAATTCTTCCTCCAATTTCTCTGTACAGCATATTCTCCTAGCTCTATAGTACAGGGTCTTGACTAGGCCTCATCTATAGCTTTTGGGAAAAAACTATTAAAATTTAAGTATTGTCCATTCCATGTCAGCTTTCGGTAAATTGACTTCTGGGGACTACCATCTGGTACTATGACGGTACCATTTTTTTCTGCACAGACTGTAGTTCTTGTTATCTCAAAATATTTCTGAGAAAAATAATCGGCTACTGAAATAAAAGAGACATCTCCTTCGACTGTGTCTAACACTAACGTGTAACGTTCCACGAATAAAACACAAAGCAGTTAGAGAGAGAGACGAACTTTCTTAATATGTAATTCGCTACAGTCAAATAATGAGGCAATTAAATATATATTATACATAAAGGAAGATTGGCACATTTATAGGGTTAAATATATGACGTATGAACTAAAAAATTACCTGCTTCATAATTTTCCAACTCAGCAGCTATAGCGCGTTTCTCAGCGTCATTCGATCTTCTTCGAACTTTTTCTGCTCGTCTTCTAGCTGTCAAAACAAGTAAAATGAAACCACTTCTATATTAATATTCTCACTGCAAGAAACTTCCTCTCAGTGCCGCTTTTCTTTAGAGTGAATAAACTGAAAGTTCTCTATTTCTGTTCATTATATGAAGTTAGTTTGTCAGTTATTGTACGTAATTCAAAAAGTTCTTTCATATTTAATAATCACTTGTTTTATTAGCATCATGCTGAATATTTCTTTTATATTTTAGTTTATTTTACGAATGAAAGTAAGGTTTTTTTTCATGAGGAGGAAATTGACTTTCAAAGACTATTGATGTTGTTCTTTATCTTAGTGTAAATGTTTCCTAGAGGTTTCCTTGGAATAGGCAGCAAAAATATTAAAAGTGATTAATCATATGTCTGACTGAAAGAACGATGGTCAAAATACATAATTTTTGTTAAACAAATAATAATAGGTATTTAAGCCTCGGCTAAGAAACTCTGCTCTGCTGAATAAATAAGAAATGCTGCTAAAAATCTACAACTTTGTTATTGGTAGTTTGGCATATTATAGAGAAATCATTAGATATGCATAATGAGTCTGTTCAGACTAACTGTTAAAAGTATTTCCAGCTGACTGACCGGTCACGCTTTTATATATGAAACAGTGGCTATTTGACGCTGCAGCCTGAAAAAACGTCGCTTCAAATATGATAGAAAGTGGGCTTCAGGGTGCCTGAAGTTAGCTGGTCGATATGAGATAAAGTAAACTCCAGAATAGGTTCACGTTCTTAGATATCATTTCTTATCTAGCGTGTAAATACATTGTCCCGTAACAGCTGACTTTGCATTTGACTTTTTGATCATGAATATTTGCTAAACACTGAGAACCAGTGTTCAATCAGATCTGTTAACAGTGATGATGGACATGGAGAAACAGCTAACAGCACTGCTTTTACAGACAAAATAAAAGTCTCTCGACTGTCGGTGAATACTGTAGTATTACTAGGTTTTAATGACTTTAAATTTTATGAACATTTTTCACAAAAAAACCTATATTAGTGACAGATTTGATGTACATAAAACTAATAAATTAAACGCAAAGATACTCATTTTTGAAATTATAGTAAAACTAGTTAATATTAAGTCACAGAACCTCTTTCTACTGCAAAAGGGAAAAGTAAATATCCTAAAACTTTGCCATTCCATCAGTAAGAAGACGATAGGGACTTAGATAGAAATCTCTATCTCATGTGAGAGCTGATGGAAACCTTGGTAGACTGAAATGGCACCAGGAGGAGTTTAGCTATGTGGCTCATTCAATCAATGAAGTAAAAAGCTGGTACCTATCAGGCCAGCGGTCCTAATAATTTCGCTATCAAGTGGTTGGTTTCAATTTACACAACACTAGTCATACTAATAAACTCAGAGACTGATCCTCAAAGTAAAACAAGGTCATTAAGGATATTTAAAATGATTCTGATAGTTAGAATGGGTTTCTTCTTTTGTTATATGGATGGTGATGATTGCAGATACATACTCTATAAAATATAAAATGCACAATTTAGACTAATTTTCGGGAACAAGCAATGGCCCTTCATACACTTGAAAAGATCGGTTTGTTTTATAATTTTTATGTGCATATTTCTAATTATTTTCTTTGTTCCTTTGCGTTCCCAGTGGAACATAGGGCTTCAAACTAGAGCATTGAAGTCTCTATAGCGGTGGTTTTATTTTTACGGGGTGAAGTTGTTAGCCTCATGCTTAACCTTCCCTCTTTACCAGTCTTACTACCGGCTTAACGAGTTTTAGGAGTGCGCCGGAAGGGGATCGAACCCCGGATCACTTGCGTGGTTGAACATTGTTCCATCACTGTACCACTGACGTACATTTCTAATTTTACGCATTTTAAAAAATTAAAAGGTTAATTTGAGAAACTGTTCATTCTGTGGATGCTTATTTAAGTTCCACACAGATAAAATGCAAACTTTCATAAACATACCTTTAATAATTTTTAATCTTTGCATAAAAGAAGTCTGTTCTTCTGCCAAAATAACTTCCTCTAAATAAATTAAAAAAACAATGGAGTATCTAAATTCTTTGAGTTATAACAAGATTAACTGCAAAACTCAAAATATACTAAACTTAATCTGGAAGATATTGTATATTCTTGTATATTCGCTTCAGGAAAAACAGAGATTATCATCTCATTCGCAACATATGCAACCGCTTCAAAATGTATCTCAATTCCGAAGACAATCCAAAGTGAATTGTAATAGTTTAACCAATCTGAAATCCTAAAACTTCCGTACTCTACTTGTACAATAGATTCATGAATTTCGAAGTGCTTTTTACATCTACTCATAAACATTTGTGGTATACTTCACTGAGTAAATTGCTAAAGTATTTTTTCAGATGTATAATCTTGGAAAAATAGTAATTTAGTCACTAAAACCCAATAAAATTGAAATATTCCATAACGACATTTAGCAGTTTTCAAAACGAAATAAAAATGCATTTTTGTTTAAACTGTTAGTTGGAAAAGTCAATGGATTTGACAGTGGTTCAAATGAACTGTCGTCAAGATTTGACAGAATAGTTCGAAAATATTTGGGCGCCGAGTGAGAAGTGGACATTTGTAAAAAATTATATTCGTAAAATCTCAGCGAAATTGAAATGAGTAATTCCAACGTTTCGTTCGGCAATCTGGTCCGAACTTCTTCAGGGAAATTCATTGAAATTAGCATAACAGAGGTTTATATATAAAAGGAACATCACTTGTTTCTAAAACCTTTGTCCAATCATGAGTCATTCAGCAAGTATCAACAAGTATAATAAACAAATTTTATGAGCTGTGATCAAAATTTGACCTCGGACTTACAAATATTGGTCTACCTTTGTTAAACACTTTAAAAAAGTGTGTATGTGTGTAAACAGTTGTACAACTTTTCTTAACGTCTCCATAGGAAGATATGGACAGTCGAGAATTTTGACTAAGTATTAATAATTAGTGATACATATCCATTTTTTATTTATTAATAAGGATTTCCTATGCATCAGCTAACATCACGCCTTCATGTCTGTATTTTCAAAATTATGGTGTTTAGGATTAGAGTTTAGTAGAAGCACCCTGTCGGACTTATTGCTTTGTCTTCTTTCTGAAGACTGAACTGCTTTATTTTGAAAATACGTTTTACCATAAAATTCTAGATACTAACAGTTTGAACAGGTTCAAATTTACAGTAACAAGCAATGGCCCTTCGTACACTTGAGAAGATCGTTTTGTTTTATAATTTTAATGTGCATATTTCTAATTATTTTCTTTGTTCCTTTGCTTTCCCAGTGGAACATAATAAAAATGAATACAGTTTTTAAATCTGAAAGCATGTCGTCTCCGAAATAGAAGATCAATAGTTGACGCGAAGCACAAATATTACTAATCTTCAACCTTCCATTACTTTTCACCATCGTATAACTATCAGCCACTGACTAATAACAATCACGAAATGAAATTATTATGACATGACTTGGTCGTTCAAAAAAGAGCAAAATGTCCAAAACTTTTTCAGTAATGATTATAGAAAACGAGGCTGAAGTCAAATTTTGATTTGAACTGACTGAAAATACGGATCACTGGATTCCACCCTACAAGCTGAATCAGATCGAACTCACTGTGTAATCATTAGCGAACCGCTTTGGAACAATAAAAGTAGTACAATACGAAATTAATGATGTCAGAAGAGGAATCACCTTATTCCCGAATAAATAATTATCGCATCGATGCATCAAAATCAATGATTACTGTTATAAAATATAAAGTCATCTGTTATTATCATCAGTTAGCTGTTGCTTAAGTTGTTATGTCACTTGTATAAGTGTTCTCCAACAAATAACAGATTGTCAAAAGTTTCTTCATTTTAGATTAATGGATTTTCTAGGCAGTTAATTCACGAATGACATCCAAACAGCTGTATTTTCGTTTGGAAAGAAAAAAAACAACTATGAATCTACAGGAATGACTTCAACTTTTATACAACACAGTCAGTGCTATGAACAGGCAAAAGAATCAGATATATTTGGAGCAATGTACTAATGTACGCAGTATTTCTCTTTTTCTTGAAAAGGTTAAACTACCTCATAACTATTAGTTTATTTATTTTTTCTTTATAATAGTAATAAGTTCGACTGTCATTTCTTTGCCAGTAACCTATTTCCTACCGAATTAATTTAATTGACTTTTCAACTGAGAAGAAATGTGTTTCGAAGCATGATTATAGTTCTTGTACTAACTTAGAGGTAGCCTTTCACAGCTACATTTTGGTAACAGGACTAAGTCATAACTTTTAGTGTAGACTAAATCATGAACGGATGTCAGTCAGAAAATTATTTTAAGGAAGCGAACATCGAGCAGCTGTTTCGTTCTAATTCCAGAAAATTCACTAGTGGACACCCGTGAAACTGTAAGATATCACAATCAACGCCACTAGTACCCAGCTCCGATAGCCATATCCAATTACCCTCGACGGCAATATTTCGTTGCACAACAGGCGCCACCACCATGCAGCATAATCTTTAAGTGCCTCCCTTTATATAGGACTGGGCAGTCTATAAGCCACTGTATTTTAATCCAGTGCATGAATGATGACTAAGTAGATGATTCTAGGTTCCAAAGCTCATTCAGGTATGTACAAACTTTTGATGGAGCTTAATAAAAATAGAGCAGCAGTTTGGTTGTTTTTGGTTTCCAGTCGTTTCCTATATCACTTCATTTTAACATAAAGTCTACCTTAAAAACTTGTCGAACCCTAATAGCCAGAAAATCTAAGTGATTTTTAAGACTGAAAACAAGACCTTAACCATATTAATTTGTTTATTAGATGTATCACACAGTGAAACAGTATTATTTACTGTATCTACAGTATTATTTATCCTGTAAATAATACTGTTTCACTGTGTGATACATTTAATAAACAAACTAATATGGAATTACTAACTACCACAGTGCCCATGTTTTACACATATATGTATAAAGTTGTGATGATGAAAGATTTTTCTGCAGCAAGTTCTTATAAAGCGTCACTTGTTCCTCTACTCTTCATTTCTACTCCAATATTTGGTTTATTTCTAGTTCACTGCCTTTAGGAATGAAACTAAATTTAGTGGTGACAATGGAAAAAATAAATAAGAGAATAATCAATTTACCGATAGCGGTTGGTCTAAGATTGTTTACGTGCAACCCGTTTGTTAGAAAATATATTCGATTTATATATATATATATATATATATATATATATATGGAAAATCATCAGAATCAATAAAGTTAACAGCAAAGATAAATTCAAGCAATAGATCTCGTGTCTGAATGAAGGAATATTGAAAGGAATTTCGCTTCTTTTATGCGGAAGACACAATACCAGATAAACAATAAGTAAATGTGTATATACACAGAGATAACTGTCCATTTTTGTAGGCAGTAATCCGAAATTTCTACTGCTACTTCGATAATAAATGCGTAGATATATATACACAACAAAATAAAAAGAATCAATTTTGTGATTATTCACACAAGACATTCCACTTGTGAATTTATTCTGATTTCTGGATAATGACTTTCTTTATGGTCCTCATAGAAATTAAGTATTCTAAGCATTCTTGACAAATAAAGTGATTTAAAATCAAAAAAGGATTGGTATTCAATAACTTCATCTGCTTCCTATTGGTTCCTTTAAGCACAACAGACTAGTGACTAACTCAAGTTTGATTTATCCATTATCTTCCAGAATGTCTTGGATGAAAAAATTCAAAACGTCAGTGGTAAAACACCAATCATTGAATTATTATATTATTATTGTTCCCTTGGGTTCCTAGTGGAACATAGGGCTTCAACTGCACGTCTCCACTTGCTTCTGTCTTCTGCTGTACTTTTCACCTGCATCCATGTTAGTGCATACTGTTTTAGCTCCTCTTCACACGATCTCCTCCATGTCACCCTTGGACGTCCCACTCGCCGCTTCCATTTCGCCTTCCACTCCAGGGTCTGACGCGCTATGTCACCCAGCGGCCTCCTGAGCGAGTTTCCAATCCATCTCCACTTTCCCCTGCATATTTGTTGGGCGATTAATTCTTGTTTTGTTTGTTCCCATAGCTTCTTGTTTGTGATTCTTTCCGGCTATCTGATCTTCAGTTGTTGATAAAGGTCTGCAACAGGCTGTTGGAAATATTCTTTGTGACACACTGGCCAAGTTTCTGATCCGTATAGAAGAACTGACTTGACGTTTGTATTGATAATCCGAATTTTGTTGTTGATGCTGAGTGAGTGACGAAGATTTCCAGATTGGTTTCAGTTGATGAATGTGTTTCTCGCCTTCCCAATTCTCGATTTGACATCCTCGTCCGTTCCTTCTGTAGTTGAGACAATGCTCCCTAGATAAGTGAATGAAGAAACCTCTTTCAAATCCCTCCCGTTGATGGTGATTGGCGCTGGATGTTGTTGCTGCTGCTGTTGTTGGTTGGTTGGTTATTTTCATAACCTCCGTCTTGTCTGTGTTCACCTGGAGTCCTGTCTTCTCTGGCTGCTTCTTCGACCAGTTTGTCGGTTTTTGCTTGTAAGTCTTCGATTTTGTAAAACACCAATCATTGAATGAAAAATCTAAAAAAATAATGTACAAGGCATATTCTGCCCGAAACTAACCAGCTCTCTGTATCCAATCCAGGTAGCCATTTAATTCACGATCGGTTTGCTGTTGTCGACGTAGTTTTAAGAATGCACGTCGTTTTTCAACACGCTCTCGTTCTTTAGCAAATTCACTGAAAAGGTAAAAAAAGAGATATTATTCACAGTGAATCATTCATCTTATGTTTACATATGTTTGTCCTCAGGTTTCATTCTCTTCAAAATCCTCCAGTTTAGTTTTTAGACGCCGTTCACTATGAAACTTTATGGGCCAGCTGATAGCATTTAGTACTCACCAGAGGTTAATATCAGGAGGTTTGAGAGAGTATGAGAAAGGGGTGCTTGCTAGACAATTAACCGTTTAAATCGTCCATACAATCAAATATTTAGGTTTCAGAATTTTAGAAGACAGGCATAAGTACAAAATCTACCATTTCATACTACTATGATAAATAATACGCGAATTCACAGACATAAAAGACAGTTAGAACGACAGACAGTATACAGGAGAAGTGATTACTTTTTCCTTGTGGTTAAGTTACAAATCCTAATATTATCACCCCTCAACAGTAATTACGTGCACATAATAACAGGTACATGCTGCACATGTTACTTTATTGCGTTAAATCAAAAATAGTTGAGGACAGGTCTATCTTCTTTTACCACCAGCGGGACAGAATACAGATCAATGATCTTATTAAGTGATATACTCATGTTACTTAGTATCCAACATACAGCTGTATCATGACATGCTGAAGCTGTTGTCGTCACATTTACAAATCCGAATTCAGTTAGAATAGGAAAAAACAGAACTGAACAAAAGCGTGCTGGCTATCAGATTGAGTATGTTAAATAGCCAGCGAAATGAAAATGATTCACTCTGGGTATCATCTATTCCATTCGATGTTAAAAATTAGTGCCAACATATGGTATATATATATGAACTCAAAATGCTTTACTGATGGGTGATTCTTTACAGTTTTAAAGCTGACTGGCTATGAGCAGATCATACATTTTTCTTTGATCAATATTCGGATATCTATTCGATAATAACTCTACCAGGCAAGTTACTGGTAACTTGTTAACCTAGCATAACGTTGTCTTACATAGAACCAGTTCAGGTGTAATTATGTTAATTAAAGTATGTAGCAAATTTAATTGATCATGAAATGTTGAAAAATTATTAGGCTAAAAATCTCCGATTAACAGATAAATGTGTATTCTGTTAATATAAAGCAGTCATGTGGAAAATTACTATGAGGTCAGGCAAATCACAAAGTCCCTGAAAAAAGTAAATCTGACTAAGAAGGAAAGTTTTCGTGAACATATAAACAAACTGTTTAATCTTTGTAAAAGTCCCATAAATAAGAAGACAGAGAACTGATTGAGTAGGTTTTAAATGTGATATTTTCATAGAATTACGTAAATGACATACAGGCTGCAGTTGAAAGAATCACGTGAGTAAAGTTTAAATGTTCAAAGAAAGTTTATCGTTAAACAGTGCAGTAATCATAAGTCATAGAAGGAAACATAAAGTTGGAAAACAAAAAAAATAGGTGATTAATGAGTGAGACGTTTGGCGTTAGAGTGAAGCTGGATTCAGAGGGAATTTTTCAATCTGTTTAATTTAATACCTTTATTTTATTTTATGTACAGATGGGTTTCTAATGAGAATTAAATTGCGGCAAGTCATGCATCCATCAAATCACAACACTATGTATCATCATTGAGCAGAGCTTGAAATGACAATCACCTCTCTACCTCTACCTCATTGACTTTGAACAGACCTTCAGCAGACAGCGTTTATCGAGAGGTGATTTTGAAACTATTTCGATACTATGGGGTACCGCCAACAATTATATACCTTATCCAACAGTTGTACGATAACACTACATGCCAAGTAATGCAGAAAGGGAAACTCACGGAACCCTTCGAAGTGAAGACAGGAGTAAGACAAAGGTGCCTACTATCTCCAATGATTTTCCTGATTGCGGTAGACTGTATAATGCGACAGGCAGCGGGCAACGAGGAAACAGGCATAAAATGGACCCACACAAAAAACTTGGAGGATGTGGACTTCGCCGATGATATATGTCTGATTTCCCACAAACTGGAAGATATGCAAGTGAAAAGCAACAAGTTGACAGAAGAAGCATCAAAGATAGGACTTCAAGTGAACATGGAGAAAACAGAGGTGATGAAGATTCCTGGCCTACAGTAACAGCAACAACAATCAGCATAAATGGGAGAAATCTGAATGAAGCAGCCTCTTTCACCTACCTACCTAGGTAGCATCGTTTCTATTACATGCGGATGGAACTGATGAGGATATCAAAGCTAGGATTGGCAAAGCAAGGCAAGCTTTCATTTCTCTCAAGTCTGTGTGGACATCAGCAGCACATTCAGTATGCAAAATAAGATCCGGATTTTCAAATCCAATGTGAAGTCAGTGTTACTCCCTATACAGATCAGAGACTTGGCGTGTCACCACTTTGAACAAACTACAGGCCTTCATCAACAGCCATCTACGCCCTATGCTACTCAAGATCAGATGGCCGGCCAGAATAGATCAGCAACAATTTTTTAATTTAATTTTATTATAGCTTGATTCCACAGCGTATTTTTGGTGCAAGTATGGAATTTTCAGCATGTGATAACGGTAGCCCAAATTTAGCAGGCCGACCATAGATATCAGGTGTGCGTCGGAGGGGGATTGAACCTCGGACCATGTGCATGGTCGGCGAGAGTCCTGACCACTGTGCCACCGACGCGAGGATCTCTGGGAGCGAACCAACCCAGCAGGAATCAATTGTGCAGCAAATAAGCAGGAGGAAACGAGGTGGATTGGCCATATTCTGAGAAAACCATCAAGTGACATCACATGCCAGGCTATCGCTCAAGTAGAACCCGAATGGGAAGTGGCGAGTTGATCGTCAGTGCGAGGGTGACATGGAGGAGGTCATGCGAAAAGGAGATGAAAGAATGTGGGTAGATGTGGAGCCAGGTGAAAACGTTGTCGGAGAACCAAACAAAATGGAGATGTGCGGCTGAAGCCCTGCGTTCCTCTAGGAACTAAAAGAAACAATATAATAAGTTTATGATGCTGTGTCTAACCACGTATTTGATGGCATGTGAGAATGATTTCTTGGTCATAGGTCACTACCATCGAAATTACTACAGTCGAGATTTGGTTAGTAAGTAGTTCTAAGTGTTCTTAATAATACATCAAAACCAATATTGTTGTTAAAATTTATACATAACGTCAGTGATATGACATAATTATATCATCAAAGTGCAAAGTAGTGGTAATTAGTAGGTAATGATCTACTGCAATAAGGGTCCTCAGGAAAGAAGCAGTTATCTATGCTATCGGACTTAATGGCATTAAAGACTGAAGACAAGCCTTTAGAAGTTTAACTACAATCTAGATTGACCTAACTGCAACTGAACTAATAAAAATTTCGTGGGACAAATCTGTTCTCAGTGACTGAGAGAAAGTGCTGCACTCAATATTGATTTGTTACATGAATCCTAAAATTGTTGAGTTGAAAATTCCAGTTATCTTACTCGTATAATTTATGTGTGCTTGATGATAAAACACTGACTGACTAGTGTACACCTAGGGTAGTGTGAAGTGCTGATTTGCTTTAGTGTGTGATGTCTGGAATGAGGATAATCATATTAACGTTTAGGCTGCACAATGTATTCATTTCAAGAAACAAGAACCATTTCACCACAAAACGCTGGAGAAAGAACCATAACGGATTCAATTATTCTATGCAATTTTCTTCGATTTTTTAGGATTAGTTTTCTAGGGCACAAATTTCTTTTCTTATACTTTTTACATGGAAAAGCACTCCAAAATTCTGTTCCACAAAACATTTGTCAAAATATTAGGTTTTAAAAATTATATGATAAAACTGATCACTATATAAAATATTAACATAGTCTGGACCAATTTACAAACGTTTGGATTTTATCAAATGGAGTATTTGTGTGAAAATATCAAATTTCATTTAGCCTGATGAATAACAATTGGAGGGAGAGGTTGTATAATACAACACTTGTCTACACGTAGTTGACAATTTTTTCTTCGATATCTAACTAATTTCTTATGATGAAAGCATCTTAGTGAATTTTACGAATTTTACAGACCCTCTAAAACTTAGTTTAGTTGAAATACAACTAGTATCCAAGCCATTTCTCACTATCTCTTAAGGTATGTGAATAATTTTTCAAACGATAAAAGTCATGGGTCTTCAGTAGAGACTGATGATATTTATTCAAGTTTACAATGTGACTACTGGTTTGTATTCGTTGGACTTATGTTACAAGTTGATCATCAGATATCAGTGTTCACAGTGGGTTATTTACATATTGTACCAGTGAAAATGAGAATTAGCAGAAAATAATGTCTACTCGGATCAAAGATTTTACCGCCACACTTTATATCTTGTGGAATTGGAGTCTGTACATTGGATAGCGATCAGTAAGCTTCACACAAGAGTTGAACTTTCCTGACTCACATATTTTAGTCAGTGCTGTCACACTATTTTCAAGGAATTACCTGCAATAATCATTCGCATATATTCCTAAAAAACATTTCCTCAAATTCTCAGCTGAAACTATTTCATAGAAATAATTTAACCACATACTGCATAGCTTAATATTATTGCTTTCAACTAAAATTGGTCTTTCGGTCCGAACATAGTTGATTTATAAATTATGCTGATAAGTAATTTAACAGATTCATTCCCTTCTGCAGATGATAACCCAGTGTACATTACATTATTATCTAACAGTCTGTTGGTTTTTCTGATAAAGACATTTATTTTTCAATGTCCAAAGGTCAGTGGAACCAAAATATGTTAAAAACTTGTGAAAAATAATACAGAAACAATTAATTTCAAGGATTTCATCATGAGCTGATATCGGTTAGAGATCCATTGGAAAACCTGGGAGTACTGGACAACTGTTTTGTCTTAGTTTGGGACTCCTCTGAAATACACACCCAACGGGGTTCGAACCCCTGACCTTCTGGTTACAAGGCGAGCTTTTGGACCCGATCCAATGACCAGCCCATGAATTCCAAACTCTGCCCATTCACGATAGCCAATTCACTAGCCAATATCAT